CTGACAACTCATGGATACATTTGTAACAAAAGGGTCTGGCTTGGTCTTTATCATTGCAATATTCACACCGTTTGGAGTGGGGGGCATTTAACCTTAGATGTCTTGTGGGCACTCTCCTGGGCAGTTCCAGATGGGCTCTAAGGAGAGACAAACAAGGGGACCCGGTTAGAACGATATCCCTTCCCCCTAGGCACACCAGTAGGGGAGTGGGTAAGGACTTTTCCCCCCCCCTCCTCTCCCCCCCCCAGGCAAGTCAGCAAGTCAGACCCACCGCCAGTGGTTTTCTCACTGGCTGCAGCCACTGCCTCACCTTCCATCCTCAGCAGGGCCCCTTGGGACTGCGACACCTTCGCCAGGTCCCTGGGTCCATACTCCCGAAGGTGATTCCTGGAGGCTTCTCACTGGCCTCCAGGAGAAAGGGAATGATGATCAACATCACCATGTTTAGGGCGGAAGTCCTGCCCGAACTGGAAATCCAACTGAGTACAAGGTTTGGCCCACAGCCTCGCTCCTGCTTCCTGTCCCCACAGACCCTGGCCACTCTGTCTACCTGCCTAGCAGAGTTAATGGCAGATTCCACTGCTTGATTCTCGGTACCAGCCGGTGGTCTCTAGGCATCCGTGAGATAGCAGCCTCATGGCCTGGTCCTCTTTTGGTCATGCCTCCCCATTTTCAAGAATGAGGGAAGAAGGGCGCCCCTCCCTGGAACACCAGGCACACACCTCCCCTGTGCCCAATAAGTTCCTACATACTGGGATCCCTGGAGCAGGTAAGTGACTCCGGTTCACAGCCTGCCCTACCCAGCGCAACTACTTAACCTCCCAGTGGGAACCTTCCAGCCCCAGGCCTTAGGTCTCCAAAAAAAAAAAAAAAAAAAAGTTTCACTGCCAGGGAAACACAATCAAAAACGGAGTAGTGGAGGGAAGGGTGGGAAATTTAAAGTTCTGCACCACCTAATATCAAGTCTGCTTCTCTTGGAGCTATAGTACTTCTGGTTGCTTTGTCATAGTATTATACAGTATTTATATAGCGCCAAAAAGTTTGTTCAGCGCTGTACAGAGTAGTGAGGGACAGTACATGAGACAATACAGTAACAAAACAGTATACGAGCGGTTCAAGGGCCCTGCTCTTTCGAGCTTACAATCGAGGAGGGAGGGGATAGTGGCACAGGAGGAAGTGGCTGTGGGGAATGGAGTGGTAGCAGGAGTGGAGATCAGCGGTTAGGTGAGGGTGGGTAGGCTTCCCTGAAGAGATGGGTTTTCAGGGTGCGCCTGAAGGTGAGAAGGGTAGGTGACAGTCTGATGGATTGGGGTAGTGAGTTCCAGAGGATGGGGGAAGTCCTGAGAAATCCTGCAGTCGGGCATGGGAGGAGGGGACCAGGGAGCATGTGAGGAGCGAAGAGCGCGGGTTGGGTGGTATTTGGGTATCAGGTCGGTGAGGTAGTTCGGGGCAGTGTGATCAATGGCTTTGCACGTCAGTGTTAGTAGTTTGAATTTAATGCGTTGGGCAATCGGAAGCCAGTGGAGGGAATGACAGAGGGGGTGAGAGATGCGGAGCGGTTGGTAAGGTGGATGAGTCTGGCCGCTGAGTTCAGGATATACATAGGCCACAGCCATGCCATTTTCCAACTGAAACCAGCTTCAGAACATACCCAACACCATACCGGCTATACCCGAGGGAGTCCCCCAATCCAAGAGCCCAGCACTGCCAAATAATCGCCGGATCTGTGTGCCCACGCTGCACAGCTGCATTCTGATCGGCCCATGCCCCCTAAAAAAAAAAAAAGTGTCCTGTTTGGCCTGAGGAAACATGAAACTTTGGGTCCATCACTGGGTCGCCCTTTTTAACTATTGTAGATCATGACTGACCTTGCTGGTTCCATGCAGAAAACTTTTGCACTTGCAAAAAAGCTATTGAGAAACTCAACTGGAATTTGGTACAGTGAATAGGTTTGAGTAGATCTCTTTAAAACTCTCCCCATCTAGGACCAGGAATATAGCACACTGACAATGACAGGTCGCAAAACAGGGCTTTCGAGGGAGAACATAGCTTTGGAAAAGGCTTCTAGGCATTTATTTACAGATCTTCAAATGCTAGGATTTCCTCCACAGGAACAGTCTTGTTAAGACAGAAAATGGCCAGATCCACTCCAGGGACGGAACATTTCTTAAGGAACCCCTCCTCAATCAGATTAGCACTAATTGATGTTCCTTAGAGAAGAAAGAAGAAAAAAAACCTTGTACAGATTAGGCCAATCACCACAGAATACAGGATGCAAAAGGGGGTGCAACATGATGATTTTTAACCAGCTAGAGGCTCCTAAGGGATCACAGACTGGTAACTTGGAGGAAGTTGATGCAGGCTGCATGACAACGTCATTGGGCTGATTCACAAAACGTATAGAAGAAAAAAACTCAAAAACTGTGCTGTGCACAACAGTTTAATCTCTACTCTCGCCTGCAATCCAGAATTTACAGCTAGACAGACTGCCTAATATAGAATCATCAGCCACTGCCCTTATATTTAACAGCTTTATTTATGAACCAAGTGCTTTCAGAATGCGATTGGTCAGGATAGAAAGACAAGAGCTCTTTTTAAAAGTGTAAGCTTTAAGTAGTCTTCCCCATTTCTGCTTGCTACTTACACAGCAACATGCAAAAAGACAGACAGAACAGCACACCTGTACACCTAAATAATGTGCTAAATGTAGAACGCAGGTGACAACGCCAGAGCCCCCACCTTTAAAAAAACCAACTCGGCAATGGTAACAGCCACAATTTTATCCTGACCAATTCTCTATAAAGCAAACCTATGCTGATAAATATGAGGATGTCGGCCTCCCATGAATACTAGTTGCCAAGCTGTCTCTGGTTTCAATCCCCACTCAGCTACTGACTAGAAACAACCATGCAACTTGGAAAGGAAGAATGAAGTCAGAATGTATGACCTGCCTGCTTGTCCCAAGCCAGTGCCCTAGAAAAGACTAAAAGCATTGGATCAGAACTGCAGCCAGGCAGCTAACATTTTCACAAGGAGAAATCAGCCGCTCAGTAGCCTCCACTTTGTCTAACTTATTTCTTTAATGCTTGGTGTTCTGGAAAAATAAACACCAGATTTCTAGAGGCATCCTTGGAGGACTTTGGAAAACATTTCACGTGTCATTGCGCAAATATGATTTTACACAATTCCCTTGCACAAAGATTAAAGACACAACCCAATTTAAAAAATAGAATGTTATTTTACTGGTATTTCTCTACCAAGTAACAGACAAGACATAACAAGGTCAGGGACAAACAGAATATAACCAATGACATTGTAAGATTTGGTCACGTGGTGTTGGAAAGTAACAGTCGATGGTAGTAGAATATACTGGGGCAGATCCAAGCTACATCTGCTTACATCCTTGGACAGGAAACGTCGCTCAGATCTTGTACACATCACTGGACACAGTGGAAGACACCTGGTGTATCCGATATTAAAAACACTTGTCATATCTCATCTATGTTTCCACACTGCAGTGCTGTATACCCATTCTTCTACAATGACACATGCCACTATCGCTGTATTTCTGAACATAATACAGTTAAACTTTATCAATGTACATGACTTATACATACAGGCACAGTGGTTTGCACGTTCACACACAACTTACACATACAGTCTTTGGGTCTATGGAGAGGCAGCTATGACGATGAGGCAAACTCAGTAGCTGTTGTACAGTAACTAAGGTGCAATGAATCCAGCCTCAACTGTTAACCTAGCCGCTTCATATAATGCGAACCTAGAACTACGCAGCTAAGACACAGCATTGCATTTATGGCATTCTCAGGTGTAGAAAAATCTGTGCAGAGTACCTATCCATAATTCAACAACTGTACTGCATATTCGGACACTGAATTTATGAGCAGGTCTCTTCTGCCCTTAATTACAAGAAAGCCTGCTGATGGCATTCCATTCAGTACTCATCACTTAGAGGGTACTCCATTCAGTAACAATTATGCAGACGGTGCTCCACTCAATAACTGAAAAGCATGTAGCTAGTGTTCTGTTCAGTCATTGGAAAGCGTGTAGATGGTGCTCCATTGAGTAATTCGTAAGGATGTAGAGAAGGGTCCGTTCACCAACTGATATTTATGTAGTGGGTGTCTCATTCTGTAAGTGGAAAGCAAGTATATGTTGTTCTGTTCAGTAATGGAAGAGACTGAAAAGCTGGTGCTCCATTCACTTACTGGAAAGATGTGAGACTGCTTCATTTAGTGACTATGCAGCCTGTAGATGGTGCTTTGTTCAGTAGCAGATGGAATTGGTGCAGGCTGAAATTTATACTGCCAGAAGCTCTAAAACCACTGTAAAGATTTCAGCGATTAATACATCCAATACTGGGATGAGCATAGGCAAGTAAGGCGACAGTGCTTTATGTTCCAAATCACATTTAACAAGTTTAAAGAATAAAATATATTTAATGGAATATTTTAAAAAATGCAAAAAACCTTCTTCCAAAGACTGCGCTGCTCAAAAGATAGCATTTTGTTTCCAAAACCATACAAAGGCTGTATTTATCAAACATTTAAAAATGTGTTTTAGAAAGTAGACAGTAAAAAACAGGCCTATTTTATATTACTGGGTAAAAACATTTACATTTTTTTTTTTTAACAGGGACCAGTTCACAGTAATCCAGTGTTTGTCTTGGGACTGAGGGAGACCAGATGATAAGATAGAAAAATCCTTCATTTTTTTTTTTTTTTTTTTAAATAAATAAGACTGTAAACCATATCAGATATCAGCATTTACTGCATACAGCAAACCTGATTAAAACAGGAACCAAGATTTAGTTTCAGGGTTCAAAAAAGGACCCCATAGGTACTCTGTTTTCTGGCAAGAAAAGGACTAAATTGAATTGTAGAGATACAATGGCAGATCTCAGCCTGGGAGCTGGTGGGACAGGTAGCTGAATTAATATGCCAGCTGTATCTGAGGTCATTGTGTCATGATATCCACCATTAATCACACGATTCCATAATTCCACTGAGTTCCATCTCCTGTATGGTCTCTGAGTACTCCGAACAATCTGCACCCTTCTCCTTGCAGAAAACACAACCCTGTAATAAAACAGAATGCAAGTTATTCCTATGGTAAGAGCTATACTATATATCAAGCTCTTCACAAGTACTGCTGGGAACAGGGGAAACAGTATATTTATATTCTCTCTCTCCATATATATTATACCTATACACAATAGGTTTATATGACACTATATGATTATAAATATAATTTATTACATGGTTTTTACATGTGTATGCATTGTATTGTATTTTTTTGATCATTCCACATTTCTGGCTATGCACACAATTGGGCCCTTTGGCTCCACCCCCAAAAGCATCTGGCATACCTGCTATTCCCACCCATGGGTGAGACTGCCAAACACCCACCTCTTAGAAACCAGCACATTTAAAAGGACACAGGCATTGAAGGTACTGACACTGAGGAAGAGGCAAGGCCTTGAAATGAGTCAGCCATTTGGAGGGCCACTAGTCACTATACAGACATCTAGTGAGATTGGACTTTTCTGAATTTCATATGATGTGTCTTTGATATTTTATCCTTTGTGAGTATATTACCATTTTTTACACAATAAATTAATTTTTTTTAAGGTAATGCACTAGGCTGGTGCGCCCTCTGTCTCTTTGCATGGTGCTCATCCCTGTTCCTCCTTGCACAAAGGAGCAGATACCGGTCCTGCTGATGGGTTAAAGACTTTCTATGGCCCTGTCCAGCTCTTCTAGAGTAACTGCCTGTCTCCTGGAATCTCCACCATGCTCTTGAGACTGTGCTGGGAGACACAGCAAACCTTCAAGCAATGGCACGTATTGATGTGCCATCTTGAAGGAATTGGACTACCTGTGCAACCTCTGTAAGGTCCAGGTATCACCTCATACTACCAGTAGTGACATTGACCCTAGTCAAATGCAAAACTAGTGAAAGTCAGAAAAGGGGAGTAGGGAAAAAAAAAAAAAAGGTCAGTGGCCTCCACCTGTAAAACCATTCCTGTTTTCTGGATAGTCTCATTGTTGTTCATCTAGTGCACCTGTTAATTTCATTAACACCAAATCAGCTGAAAGTGATTAACAACCCCTCCCCTTGAGTTTAATTGATTGGATGCTATGCTCTGAAAAAACTGAAAAAAAGTGTTCCTTTAATTTTTTTGAAACTCTGAATAAACTCTTGAAACATGTTGTTAGTCTAACACAGAATTAGGCACACCAATTTTATTATAGAGTCTTCCTACCAATATCCCATGAAATTTTACTTCACTGTCCCTCTCTGTATGGTTTACACTTATGTCAGATCACAGGTGGCCCAAAGACCAGTGATCTGACATAAGTGTAAACCATATAAAGAGGGACAATTGGTGTACCTAATTCTGTGTTAGGCTAACTCCAGTCCTCATGGACCCCCAACAGGTCATATTTTCAGGATTTCCCTCAGATGAAACAGCTGTGGTAATTACTAAGGCAGTGAAACTGATCAAATCACCTGTGCAAAATAATGGAAATCCTGAAAACATGACCTGTTGGGGGTCCATGAGGACTGGAGTTGAGAAACACTGGGCTAACAACATGTTTCAAGAGTTTATTCAGTTTAAAAAAAAAAAAATAAAGGAACATTTAAAAAGGAGATTATGACACAAATAGTTTTTTTCTTAAACAAGGTATGAATTTGTAGAGTGTCGCAACAGTAGGCCCCTAGAAAGCAAAGCAAGGAAATTAAAAAAAAAAAAAAGGGGGTAATTTCTAGTGTTAATATGTGGCTACACCCCTTTAGCACCTGAAAGATAAGTGCATGTACAAGCTATTGGGATTTGAGCACTGGTATATCTTGTTTTTGTTGCATAGTAGGCCAGTAGCCAGACCTAAACCTAAGCCAATGAAAATGCTACCTGTGGACACAATGCCAACCTGGGGCAGAGTAGGACTGGCCATAGAGAGATTACTTTGGCGCAGTTGGCCAGCTTAAACATGTATTGCAATATGTGTGAACTAAAAATCCCTATTTTTATTCCAATGTTTGCTGGAAAGGGTAATTAGTGTGCAGAAAGCTCCTGTGGGATTTCTACTGTATGTCTATAAGACACACAGAGCTCAGCTCTGCCCCGGTCCTTCCTCACTGGCTGTGATTATCAGTGGATGCAGCTGCTGATCAGTGTATTTTGGCAGTGCTGAGTGCTTCTATCAGAATAAAATATATTTGTGTGCAGGGTTTATTTTGATAGCGGAATCTGTTTTTTTTGTTTTCTGTTTTTTTTTTTTTGTTCAGTCCGTTAACTGAGCGAAAAATAAAACTAACAGTATATGGCTGGCTTAAGACTGTAAGCCTGTACAGGAAAGAGACTGATGGTTCTTTGTACTACTCTGTCAATGTTCCACAAATACAGAAAATAAAATTAACAACACATATGGGTCTGAACAACAAAGTTTATACCGTATTTGCCGGCGTATAAGACGACCCCCTACTTTTCCTGTTAAAATATAGGGTTTGAGCTATACTCGCCGTATAAGACTACCCCTCTTCCAAGGCACACCAAATAAAAATGAAAAAACATCAGATTTGATTTCAATATGGTATGCTATTTCAGTATGGTATTCCAATGATGGGGTGCTATTCCTCCCACTGACACCAATGATGAGGCACTACTCCTCCCACTGACACCAATGATGGGGCACTATTCCTCCCACTGACACCAATGATGGTGCCCCATCATTAGTGTCAGTGTGTGAGGAATAGTGCCCCATCATTAGTCAGTGGGAGGAATAGTGCCCCATCATTGGTGTCAGTGGGAAGAATCGTGCCCCATCATTGGTGTCAGTGGGAAGAATCGTGCCCCATCATTGGTGTCAGTGGGAAGAATCGTGCCCCATCATTGGTGTCAGTGGGAAGAATCGTGCCCCATCATTGGTGTCAGTGGGAAGAATCGTGCCCCATCATTGGTGTCAGTGGGAGGAATAGTGTCCCATCATTGGTGTCAGTGGGAGGAATAGTGCTCCATCATTGGTGTCAGTGGGAGGAGTAGCGGCCCATCATTGGTATCAGTGGGAGGAATAGCACCCCATCATTGGTGTCAGTGGGAGGAATAGCGCCCCATCATTGGTGTCAGTGGGAGGAATAGCGCCCCATCATTGGTGTCAGTGGGAGGAATAGCGCCCCATCATTGGTGTCAGTGGGAGGAATAGCGCCCCATCATTGGTATCAGTGGCAGGAATTGCGCCCCATCATTGCTGTCAGTGGGAGGAATTGCGCCCCATCATTGGTGTCAGTGGGAGGAATAGCGCCCCATCATTGGTATCAGTGGGAGGAATAGCGCCCCATCATTGGTATCAGTGGGAGGAATAGCGCCCCATCATTGGTGTCAGTGGGAGGAATAGCGCCCCATCATTGGTGTCAGTGGGAGGAATAGCGCCCCATCATTGGTATCAGTGGCAGGAATTGCGCCCCATCATTGCTGTCAGTGGGAGGAATTGCGCCCCATCATTGCTGTCAGTGGGAGGAATTGCGCCCCATCATTGGTGTCAGTGGGGAGGAGGAATAGTGCCCCATCGTTGGTGTCAGTGGGGAGGAGGAATAGTGCCCCATCATTGGTGTCAGTGGGGAGGAGGAATAGTGCCCCATCATTGGTATCAGTGGGGAGAATAGTGCCCCATCATTGGTGTCAGTGGGATGAAATGAATAGTGTCCCATCATTGGTATCAGCGGGAGGAATAGTGCCCCATCATTGGTATCAGTGGGGAGAACAGTGCCTCATCGTTGGTGTCAGTGGGGGAGGAACAGTGCCTCATCGTTGGTGTCAGTGGGGGAGGAACAGTGCCTCATCGTTGGTGTCAGTGGGGGAGGAACAGTGCCTCATCATTAGTGTCAGTGGGGGAGGAACAGTGCCTCATCGTTGGTGTCAGTGGGAGAGGAATAGTGCCTCATCGTTGGTGTCAGTGGGGGAGAGGAGCGGCTGCTCCTTCTTCCAGTTCGGCCGCTCGATTTTCGCGGGGCCGCTCGGCTCCGCCTCCTCGCCGGTGATTGGTCGCCTGTGTGCCTTTCCAGTGCTGGCGCCCAATCACCGGTGAGGAGGCGGAGCCGAGCGGCCGAACTGAAAGAAGGAGCAGCCGCGCTTCCTGGACCGGATCGTCAGGGGACCGGAGCCAGGTAAGGTACAGCAGCCCCTCTGTCCACCCCTGTACTTAGTGTCCGTTGGAGGAGGAGGGGGGGCGGCGCGGCGCCGCCCCTCTAAAAAGTGCCGCCCTGACACCTGGCGCCGGTTTGCACCGGCGTATAAGACGACCCCTGACTTTTCAGAAGATTTTCAGGGGTTGAAAAGTCGTCTTATACGCCGGAAAATACGGTACTTAAAAAAAAAAAAAAAAAAAGGAAGAAGAGATGCAAACACCTTATCCAGATTCTTAAGACTAGCTGATCCCCCCCTAACAATCTAGTGAGTACTAATCATAAAGGAGATAATCCTACCATGTTCTGTTTACAGGACCATCACCACCTGTCAGCCCATGTGTGAGTACACACAAATACCTCCAACTGGCTTCCCAGATACACTAGTTTTCACAGGTCAGGCTTAACATGGCCCAAAATGTAAGATGTCCCAGACAGACCCAGCTATTTCCAGATCAGACTTATCCTGTAGCCAATTATAGTTTCTGCCAAGGACAATCCGATTAGCGAATTAACTAGCAGAACTTTGTTTACATTCCAACTGTGGTCCAGAATCTGACATAAAACTACATCTTTAAGTTTGACTGGGCATAAAAAGCCTGGCAATGCTCAGATCTGCTTTCAACATTATAATGGGGTGCAAATATGATGTTCTGTTATGCATTGCATGTAATTCAACAGAAAATATTACAATGTATGTAGTTTACACAGTTGTGCCCAAGACAGCTCAATATTTGTAAAATATTTACGTCAACTGAAATGAATAGTGAGGCCAGGGCATATTACAGACAGTATTTGACTTTGCTTACAATGTGAATGTATGCAGTCATTAAATTAAAATACCATCCTTTGCTTAAATTGTAAACTGGTTACAATCAAAAGGAATTCTCTAAAGCCTCTTTCACATCTTCGAAATGGCCATACTGTGGCAAGTATACCTGCAGCCCAGGATCCCAGATGTTCCAATTGGTGGCAGCTATTCAGAGTGTACAACTTAAAAGAGAAAAATAGGGCCAAAAAACTCTGCCAGCCATACTTTTCATGTGGGTCACAGGAGTGCATTTACTTGTGGTCTCATGTCACCCAGAATAAGCAGACAGTGGCTAAAGCCCGCTTTCGGCTGACGTCAGAGAACTGCTTCAGGCTCTGGATGGATCCCAACAATGATTTCCGGATCCACCCAGATGCCTTACAGGCAGCTGGCTCAGCCTCTCCGAAAGCGGCTAGGAGCCTGAACCAGCCCCTCCATCCCCTCTCCTATTGGGAGGGGCAGAGCAGAGAAGAAGTGACTGGCAGTCTGTGAAATCTGAAAATTGTGCAATCAGCAGTCACGCAATCGCACAGTTCTTCAGCTTAGAGCCGGAGGGGAACAGCTTGCAACATCGGATAGATGGTGCAGCATGTAGGCAAGTATGAGTGTGTGTTTGTTTTATAATGTCACACTTCCTCTTTAATGACAGATTGAAATGAGCTGGAGGGTTTGCAGCTGTGAAAATGTATCCGCACATCCAGCAGTTACCTGTGGATAAGGACAGTTGTGTGACCTTATCTCTATCTAGGAAAGGACATATGTCCCTATCTGCAGGTAACTGCTGGGCTCACAAGGCGAAGAAGTGAGCTGAAAAGTATTAGAATAATTACTTTTGATATCAAAGATGTCTCTTGCAGGTTGACACACTTGTGTGAAAACATTTATAAATGGACCCCTAGGAGTAATAAGAGCTTCTTATTAAGGCAAGACATACACAGGCAAAGCCACTATTTACCTGATTTCACTACACTGGTCAGACTGAAAATTCGAACTCCTCTGCAAAAAAAATTCTCACCGAGCAAAACACAAAGAATTCTTTAAAGTCCCAATACTTAACGGAGACCAGCATGATGCTGTAAGCTGAGCTGTACATGCACAGCTCAGTTTACAGTACCGGAGGAGAAGGCAAGCAGGCAGATCGGGGCATTTTATTGCAGAAGTGACAATGCATGTATCTTCTGCAATAAAAGTCTGCCTGCTGCAATTTTTTTTTTTTTTTTTTTTTTTTTTTTTACACAGTGGGATTTCAGATCTGCTTTAAGCATTAAAAGATTGGTGACAAATACAAACGACTGCTTAAAACCCAGATCTGGCCAAAAAGTGCATCTTTAGTGTGACTGTGTGAAAATTTAGAATCTGTTGTGTTTTTATAGCGGTTTGTGCAACATCTTTACTGGAGAGATTTACACTAATTTCCTAAACAAGGAGTGATGGAATTTCTTCACAATGGGGGCACAGGCACTGACAGAAACTTGTCGAAAATCTCTGCAGTGAAACAAAAATATACCTGACAAAAATTTTAACCTTTCCCCATATTAATCAAAACTAAAAAAGGGAAAAAAAAAAAGCTTAAATTTTAAATTTACAACTTCTAAAACTAGATTTTACCAAAGAAACAAGCAGATAGTATATGGCGAACCATTTATAATCCCTTATAAAGTAATGACAAACAGGATTTATTATCCTCCAAAGACGAGACAATTTAATGGAAAACTTCAGAATCCTACTCTGAGGAACACTTTGAATACTAATTTAAATAGTTTTATTATGGATATTTCCACAATAACTATTGCCGACTAACTTGGAGAAAATTAGGGGTCCCTATTAAAACACATCTGCAGACGCTCTCTATGATCATAAATAAATTACTGTCACCTCTACTGCCCAGGGAAGTCCTCCTCTCTGTATCCATGGATGAATCTCTCCCAACTCCTTGCGCTGATCTTCTGTAAAGCGTGGCTGAAGTTTCTGCATAGATTTCAGCTTTTCTCTATCCTCTCGCAGTACCGAATCAATGTCACTAAAAAAAACAAGGCACACCAAGTTAGCATATACACAGAGGACGATATACACACAAGAAGCCTGCTGGCTTGACCTTCTGCAAGTAAGCTCACCCCGCTATACTTTTCAAATATATATGCACCTACAGATGGAAACTGCGCAGTGCATAAAAAACTGCTTTTGGGGTGCCTAAACAACTTTCATAAATCCAAAGCATACATATAGCACACACAGATCATCATATATTAAAGCAATCTCGGACATATCAGCCATACTATACAGAATTAATCTAACACTGTATAGGACAGGGGTAGGCAACCATTATCCAGGTAGATCTCAATGGCTTAATATCAAGGAAATCAGAGATTCCCAGGGGAAGGGGGGGTCGTAATAATAAATAACTATCAAGGCACCAATAAAAAAACACAACACAGCGTCCTGTACACCCCCACCCCCCCTAGTGTTCTCCACTCCCCATCAAATCAGTATCCTCTGCCTCCCCATACAGTAGCGTCTTCTGCCTCCCCATACAGTAGTGTCCTGCTCCCCTTCACATCACCACCACCCCCCCCCTCCCCCAAGACTATAGTGTCCTCTGCCCCCATAGCAGTGTCCTGTGCCTCCCTCCCTGCAGAGCAGTGTCTCCTGTCCCCCTTCACATCAACCTCCCTCCCCCCAACTGTAGTGTCCTCGGCCCCCACCCCCAGCAGTGTGCTCCTCTGTCCCCTTCACATCACAATCCCCCCAACTATAGAGTCCTCTGACCCCTCAAAGCTATGTCCTCTGTCCCCTTGAGACCCCCCCCCAATGCGATGTCCTCTGTTCCCTACACACGCCCCTTCCCCCAATGCGATGTCCTCTGTTCCCTACACACACCCCTTCCCCCAATGCAGTGTCTGTTCCCTTCACCTCTTCCCCTCCTAACTGTAGTGTCCTCTGTCCCCTGTGCACTGCCCCCCCCTTTCCCCACTGTAGTGTCCTCTGCCCCCCAATAGGATGTTCTCTATCCCCTACACACAACCCTTCCCCCAGCTGTAGTGTCCTCTGTCCCTTTCACACCAGTAACCAGTGTGTAGGTAACACCTTATACATATATACACTTGTATACCTTACACTGAGCATAGAGCAGGAAGTATGACAGTACTGGATGTAGGGCAGAAGTTGCCAGAATTAACTTAAGCTGGTGATTGGTTGCAAGGATCTCCCGGCAATCAATCACCTTCTGATTAATGTGAAAAGTTAACTCCAGCAGCTCCCGTCCTCTGACTCTTCCCGCTCCCAGCTTTGCAGTGAAGAAGAGTGGTGGAGGCTGGGGGAAGAACTGTGTGCAGGGATGCAAGGACAGAAGAGCAAATAAAAGCGTGAAGATTTTGCTGCAGGAGTCAATCACAACTACAAGAAACAATCCAGTGACTGCATTAAAGCCTTATTACTTTTGGTAACCTTCTATTTAAACATTAATAGTGCACAGCCTGCACAAGATCTGCATACTCACCGCAGTGGTATTTGGTAAGTCATCATAACATTTTCATCTGCATTTGCCATTAGCAGCCACATGGGGTCTTGCAGGACATACTTCATAACAGACTCCCCAGCTGATGGCGTTGACCCTCTCCCTTTCTGATTGTTCTCGGAGGAATCCACACTGCCAAAGTACTTGCTGCTGTGGCTTGTCTGACTGCTCCCTGCAACAGACACTGGTTGATTAGCATAAAAACATGCCAAAGAGCTGAGCTGTAACAGAAGCAGAATTGTAACCTCGCTGTATCAATCAACCCCACCTGTTTGACTCCCAGATGTACCATTTCCATTAGATCCAGAGGTGAGAGACTCTGATGCTGCAGAGGAAGCAGAACAAGTTGCAGAGGAAGCATCTTCCTGCAGCAATATATCCATGAAGTCACTGCCAGTGGACAATGCATCACTGTTGTGGGCCTCCGCAGGAGATCTTGCTTGCTGGATACATGGAAGGATTTGAGAAGTGCGATAAACATTATACAGCTTTGTATTACACATCGGTTATAAGAGGTAATTAATACAGAACAATCAAGTACCAGTTCAGGATCTTCATGGGTCTGTGGCATGAATGTACAGTTTACAGCACCACCTGTGCCTCCCTCTGACCGATCAGTCTTCTGGAACTCTTCCAGCTGCAGCAGGTTTAGTTGTAGGGGTGAGCTACATCGAGATTGGAACAGTGGAGGAGACTGAGGATCTCGTGGGGTGGAGGAGCGGGAGAGGCCTTCCTTCATCTTTGGTTCATTTAGAGGAACTGGGTATGAGAAGGGCTGCACAGAACACGGGCTCTGTGTAGACAAAGGAGCTGAGGATGGAGGAGGAACAGGGAAAACATGGGGTGCAGATGGACATACTGGCGGTGGAACAGTAAAGGTAGGCTGTGGAACAGGGAATGCAGCATTTGAAGCAGTCATGGTCTGTTGTGGAGCATATAATGATGGTTGTACAGGGAATGGATGCTGGGGTGCTGTGCCAGGATAAACATTGGGCGCAATCCCAGGTGGATACATATAGTTAGGCAGGACAAGAGCAACCATGGGGGAAAGCATGGAGCGGGGAAAGGCTGCATTGGGAGTGTGGTGGCGGGCGCACCATGAATGGTTTCATTTGGCACTGGGATTTGAGGAGGAGGAAAAACGGGCAATGGATAGGCAGGCAACACAGGATACGGCAGGGGATGATAGCTGGCATGTGAGGTATCAGACTGGGACCAAGCTGTAGTATTGAGCCCGGGAAGAGGGGGGCGATGGGCTTGAGCGAAACCAGAGCTGCTGCTGTCCCATGATTCTGGTCGCACGCGTTTTACTTTAGCTTTCCCGCCTTTCCACTTCTCCGGACAGCAGTATCCTTTCCTGGAGGAACATGGGATCGCAAAGCTGTTAAATACAAGAAACAACAACTAAAAAAAAAAAAAAAAAAAAACCTGTGTAATTATGCCAAATAATTTGGCAATAGATAGACTGGAAACAGAGATGTGAAAAAAGAAAGTAGAAGGCTGAGCCAGGTAATAAAGTTGTCATCTGTCTGGCTGTGTAGTGTGGTAGAGTTATTTCAATACTTCACTGACTAAACAAAATTAAATTTTCCAGGTAAAACAGTATACATATGTTAAATGTGTAATTAGTAGTTTGAGCACAGTACATCTCTTTCTCTCTCCCATTCCAGTCCCTACCCCCCCCCCCCCCATATACTGTTGAACATACAACCACCCAACTAAAAATTACTACTTTTCAATGCTGCCCAGAAAGCTTCTTCCTGTGCATATCTTCTCTCATAAACCGATGACTAAGCAAAATTACCAAACAGAACAAAAGGCTACACACTAGGTTACACAGAGTTGGTCTGAAAATCTCTATATTATAAGATTTACTACATTTGAAAGTTCTTTTTACTAATCTCTGGTAAAGCTCTATATAGTCCAAAGGTTGCAGGTAATGTTTGTAGCGTTCAGTTTCAATGGTTGTTTATGGCCACATTTACCTAGGCAGCACTCACCTCCTGGTCGGTCATGCATGTAGCTATTACATCTAGTCTGGAAGGCACTCATCTTCTTGCTATCCATGAAGCCACTGAGAAAGTCATTCTCTTCTTTCTGTGTGTGCGCCACCATGAAGCCACTGAGAAAGTCATTCTCTTCTTTCTGTGTGTGCGCCACCAGAACTTCCTTTGTTAGTCCAAGCTGTTTGTATGGCTCTCTCTCTGTGCTAGCTGCTGTAGGAGGCAGAATCTCAGGATGTGATGGTCCATTGTTGGCACCCTAATTCTAAGCACACAAAAAAAATTCATCACAAGGATTCAGCAGAGCATCAGGAAAAACAAAAATACGTAAAGAGCAATTATGGCAATCCCAACACAGACAACTACAAAACACAATCTATGAAATATTTAGATTATTACAACTTTCCTTTTATTGGACTAGAACTATATAAATTGTAGATGGCTTATTATATTTTTGGGGGATCCAAAATGACTAGGCATACAATGCCACATCATATATCTTTAATATTGCATCAGCATGAACTAGAAGAATAAGCACATGTTCCTATATACATATAGAACATCTATCTATAAACAGCATGTACCTGTCTCTGGCTGCAGCTTCTTGTCCCCCACATGTACGATTGTGCTGCTGTAGCTGTAGCTGCAGTGACTGGTTAAGGATACCACACTCTCGGCCTTGGCACCAATAGAAAGTTGTGTAATGGCAGTACCAGAAAAACAGGCAAGGAAGTGAGGGATGGATGGGGTAAAGAACCTGGTACAGTCTGGCAGGTGGTGGCAGGTCCAGAGAGAGATGACTGCAGACAGTGAGCAGTGCTTGCCACCCCAGTTTTGGGGTTAACTACAGGACCTGCAATAGAATCTGACAAACACAAGAAGGTTTAGGAGCAGGCAGGGAAGAGAGATGCTGGCAAGATTTTTGTGCCATCACTGGCTTTTTACTTGAGCAGAAAACAAACAATGACAAATAATAAATGGTGCATTTCACAGCTTTGATACTCGGACATTGGATTTTATGGTTGCAACAGAGATGATTCAGTAAATGTGTGCGGCCAGAATCATGGGACAACAGTAAATCACATTAATCAGATGAAATCCATGCATATTGGCATCAATATCTGCATTAAACACACTGGAACAGTACACCAAGCCATTCTCTATTATGTCACAGAGATAAAGTGGGCTAGGCAACATGAAAATTCTAATTTTCAGCTCATCTTCCAGCTTACCTCTCTGGTCATGCGTTTGAAATTGATCGTTAGAAGCAAAAGATGCCATGCCGCCAGGTGACACAAATTTTTTTCTTTCAGAGGATAAAGCACTGCAGCTTTCCAGGTATCTAGGGACCAAGGCAAAAATTAAAAAAAATACACACTATACATTGCAATGTTCCTCCCTTGGCTGACGTGAACAGAAAATCTGAACACAGAGCCACTCATGTCAGTCACTGGCCAAATTTTTTGGCTCTACATATACATTTTATATATTCATTATATACTTAAAAGAAATGAACCTTCAGGCTATGCAATAACTCCATCTTTTGAAAAAATTAAAACAGCAGTGTTCCCTGATGTGTTCCAACATCAATACACCCCACTGCCTAAACATATTTGTACACAAAAAACACATCAGACTTCATCTAACCATCAAAACTACAAGCCCTAATACAACTGCAGTGGTTTTTAGCTCAGGATCCACTCTGCAATGTGTGTTTAAGACTTTGTGTGAAGAAAAAGGTTTAGGCAATTGGAGGTGCTTTAATGTAAGGAACACATCAGGGAACAATGCTATTTTGACATATTTTCACTCACTCAAGCCACAAAAGAAAGATACAAACTAAAAGGTTCATGTTCAAGCAAATTATCCGATGTAAGGGTTTTACAACACACAAGGAAAAAGTAAAATGTATGCTTCTGTAAAATTAGACCGTCTATACATAATTATGTCTTAGGAAACATAAGACCTTTGCATTACTATGTGAAGGACTAAAAAGCATGACCGTATTTTAACTGCACTACTCATGCAACCCAACAGAGTATATACAAAATGTGAAAATTTCACAACACTTATATTTTGACATCATGAAGTTGGTGAAATGGTGCAAAGCCAATAAGAAACACAAAGTACTCTGTATGAACTCCTATGTGTACATCCTGCTCCAGCCAGAGCAAGAGGACTGAGAATTGGGGGCAGTAAGGGGCCCAGCTGATGTCAAAAGTCAATAGCCGTTTCAGTCATCTAGTCCCCACCTCTAACTGAAATATCACTTTTAGAAGACCAGCTCCAGGTTTTTTCTGTCTGTTGTACTATGTAACAAAAAAAAAAAAAAAAAAAAAAAAAAAAAAGAAGTATACTGCACTCTACTTAATTACATTGTATATGTATGCACTGGTATAAAATCCTAAATATAAATATTATTGAATGCTTTTTTGGAAGTGCCCTTTAAGGAACTGCTGAACATCTGATAGAAATGGCCTGACAAGCTGTTCAAGCACCAGATTAAGTCTCACCTAATGACACTGTCCAGGCTGCTGATTTGCTGGTAAGAGTACGGAGGCTGTTTTGCTGGTAGCGGGTCACACTGTACAGGGCAGGTAGCCTTTTCAGAGCCCTTGCTATTGACATCTTTATTGCATCTGTTCCCTTTGACAGTGACACCTGTTAATGAGATGTGGCATTTAATTGTAGGCAGTATATTAACCTTTGTAGCCACAACATTCTCAGTAGCAGGCCCCTTTCACACTTACGGACTGTACATTTCATCAGTTCAGACACATTTTTTTCAAAGAAAAAAAGGATCTGTTTACATCAGTTTTTAAACCACTTGAGTCCCAGAGCCTTTTTTAAATTTTTAAAAAATTTTTGGTTTACATGATTAAAAAATAATTTTAGTCCTGAAGATTAACCCCCAAACATTATAGATTTTCTGAAAGCAGACACCTAGAGAATAAATTTGTTGTGGTTCCAATTTTTTATGTCACATGATATTAGCACAATGGTTTATCAAATGCAAACTTTTAGTAAAAAATATACTAAACTTAATTTTAGGACACACAAACACAATAATTGACCCATTTTTTGGTAAAATATAAAAGAATGCAGTTGCACGGAGTAAACAGATACCCAACATGCCAGCATTAAAATTGCATACACCCATGAAACAGTGAAAAAAACCCAAAAACATCAATGCCCTATATTTTCCATAGAAGCTTTAAAAGTCCCTATAGGTCATCAGTTTAGCATTAACCATAAGCTCTGGTGCTAAAATTATTGATCTCACTCTGGCATGCGTAGTCATATGCACCATGTGTAGCACAATTGCCTTTTTTTTTTTTTTCTTTTAAATGGGCACCCCAACGGCTGTTTTTTTTTTATGTATGTCTGTGTATGTGGGGGTGGGAGGCTCCAATTTTTTTTTTTTTTTTTTTTTTTTTTCATGTGTTTTAAGTGTTTTCTTTCAACTTATGAATTTATTGCTTTCATGTGATAGCATACAAGTGGCAGGTCCTCTTTTTTTGGGGGGGGGGGGGGGGGGGGGCGTGTGCAAGAAGTGCCAAGAAGGAGCTGTCATTCGCCCAGCTGCTAAAGTAAACAAAGGTGCAGGGTCACCCAGTGACACCCCCAGCGTGTGCAAGGAGGGGGCAGGAGAGGAGAGGAGGAACAGTGTATACAGTGAGGGAGCAGTGTAATAAAGACAAGATTCTTCACTAGCCAGAGCTGTCATTGCCGGCTTTAAAACGTAATTGTCGCCTTTTTTTCCCCCCTTTTATAGTGCCAAGAAGGAGCTGTCATTCGCCCAGCTGCTAAAGTAAACAAAGGTGCAGGGTCACCCAGTGACATTACCCATTGGATGTGCCCCTTTGTTAACTTCATTGGCGGGGCAAAAATGACAGTTCCTTCCTGAAGCTATAAAAAAAAAAAAAAAAATCTTGCAATTACATTTAAAGCTGGCAATGACAGCGCCAGCAAAAGATCGAGTCTGTCTGTATACACTGCTCCCTATCTGCAGTACACATAGCCCCCCAAACCCCCACAACTTTTTTTTGGTTTTGCTTACTTTATGATGTCAGCGGAATCCGTGTTGACAGCAGAGGTGAGTCACAGGTTGTTAGGACACTGGCGGTTGCAGGCTCCTAACAACCAATGCAAAAATGGACTGGACTGTCTGTCCGTTTATCTAACTTGAATATTAGAAACTTTGCACTCAACATTAAATTCTTTCTTGGAGTCCATTGAGGGACACAGTTTGCTGATAAGCAGTTTAGGATTATGCTGCCACCTACAGGACAAATGGACACTAGGCCAACCCCCTTAGGGCTATAAGGAGTTTTGGCTTACCTGTAAATTTCATATCTCCGCGTACAGTACACCAAGACAGCTTGTTCCTAATGATCAAGCTGTGCCCCTCAAAGGATGAAAATCATCTTTTAGACATCATATTTCTACCTACTGACCACTGCATTACATGAGGGGCTAGATGAGTAGATTATATGCCAAATACAGTTTTGCCCTTTGGTAGTTTATTTAGAATGGTCCAAGTGAAATGTAATAGCTGCTATCATTGCTATGATTACAAAAAAAAAAAAAAAAAAAAAAAAAACACGCACCACAGTCTTATGAACTCTACAGATCCTTCTAAAACCTGGGAGATATCATTATTAAACACATGAGATAATTATACAGTAAAAAAAAAAAAAAAAAAAGCTGGAGTAGATGCCATACCAAGGTATTTTTATTTAACAACATCCTGGCTACCTGAGCATCCAGTATACAAGATATAATTTATCAATAACTTTTTAGCAACAACATAAGACCACTATATATTTTAATCGACCAACACACTGTTAATGGATGCCCTTTACATCAATTTTTCGGAAAATCTTTCACCCCCATTTGTGCACTTCATACACTTTTTTTAAACAGATGTTCGAAAAGTCAGGATGTTTTTAAATTTAAAAATACCAAAGCATGCGGCTTTAATGTGTTAATAAACAAACTTTTAAAAGAGATATACTCCTGCTTTTTGGTATAATTATCCTATAGGTTTAGAAATGATATCTTAAGGTTTTAGGCAGGTCGCTAGAGTTCATAAGAGGTTTTTTGTGGAGATTTTGTTATGCTGTTAATGCCGAGAACTCTGGACCTATGGGGGGTTGGAAAACTACAAGAGAAAAATAAAATTATTAAACTTAGACAAAGAAGTCACACTATGTTCTCTCATACCTGTTTCAGGGGTGACCTTCAGATTCAGTTTAGGGTGATCTTTTGCTTCTAGTCTGGTAGATACTTGCGGTCTCTTTAGTCCACGCACGGGGGGAGTTCCCTGCAGAACACAGTAGGAGTATTGCATGAAAAAACAGCAGCCATACATTAGCACCAGTACCAGACATGTGTGAAAATATTTGCTGGCAACTTTGGTATAAGTGAAGGGCAATGTTAGATGGTGCATCTGTGTGTGATTAAAGTAGAACTATAGGCAAAACGATTTTCATTTTGGATAGAGAAAGGGAGGGTTATAACCCCCGTCTGGATTTGTTTGGCCATCTGTGTCCAATTGCAGATATTTCCCTTTACTTCCTGTCCTAAAGCCAAACAGGAAGTGAAAGGAAATCCCTGCAAATTAAGGGAAGTCCTTGGGGACCCCAGGTCATCAGAACTAGTGTCCTTGTTGGAAGATTTCCCCTCTGTTACTTTTCTTGGGACAGCCCAAAATTTGGGATTTTCTTTTACTTTCAATGATATTTGTAAACAGGACAAATAGAGAGGGTGAATCTCCCCAATGGGGACACAGACAGCAATAAAAGCTGACAGGGGTTCAAATCCCTCTCCACGCTATTCAAACCTAAGAAAAAGGTTTTGCCTTTAGTTATGTTTTAAGGTCTGGAATAAGAGTCAGCTGCTGACTTTAGGACCAAGGGTTTAAAGGAGATTATGATTTTTGGCCATGTGTGGGGTAGAATATTGCCTCAAAATATTAGGTGGTGTACATGAGTTAGAGTTAATGTAATTTGGAAACTTACAGTAAACCTGTGAAATGTCCATTTTCACAAAGCAAAACAATTTTAATGCAGATACAACCACTAGCTTATATATCTCGTCATTCCCACACTATCAGCCACAGGAACTAAAGGTGGATTCCTTGTGCAAGCTCCAACTCAGGATTTACATGGGAGTGCATATTCTCTCCACACCTCATGTGACAGCATTGTGGTAGGGAAGGTACCCTATAACCATAATGGGCATTATTCTTTACTTCCTGCAAAGGAAAAGGTACAAGCTGCTGAACTACACGGGTTCACTTTCAAGCCCATGTGGGTAAGGAGCAATGGCAATAGCACAAAATGCCAGTATCCATCCTGTTAAGCTCCAATAAAGCACATAATCGGAAACTTAACTTTTAATGGTATTATCTGGCAACCTGTACCTTGGAGTACAGTGCAGGACATAGGACAGGATTTATATGCTGCTATCTTCAAGACGAACTATGCTTATCTCCATTCCAGCACTGCAGTGGTCCCACCCTCCCTCGCTGGCTGATGACTTCTTCAGTCAATCTTCCAGGTTCTGATGTTCAGTTATTTTTTCATTCATCTTAGCAGATGCTGAAATTGTACACCGAGTTTCAAATGCTTGTTTGAAACTTTTTTTTTTTTTTTTTTAAATTAAAATGTTCAATTTTTAGGCGATTGTACCTTGGCAGAAACTTGCTAGGGCAGCCCCCAGAATGTAACCCTGCCAACTATGTGAAGCACCAGATTTTTTAGCAAGCAATAAGATGTGATCAAGACTCAGAAGGGAAGGGACCGTGTCCTGTACATTACTTAAAAGATAAAGAATTTACAGTGAAGTCTAAATTCCTATATCTTAATTGTACAGTATAGGACACGGGACTTGTGTTCATACACTATTGGACATGCCTAAGCAATAAAAAAAAAACAAAAAAAACTGAGGAATGGGCAAAAAAAAGAAAAAAAAGCAACTGAGAATTGCCAACAAGTTCATGGATAGAACAAGAAACCCAAGCACTCTAAAAGCTTGAAGCACCCTGCAGCCAAAGCTTGCATCAGCTGAGGCCTGAACGTCCATCTTGTTGAACATGTGAAAGGGACCAGGTAGCGGTCATGCAAATCTGGGATATAGATGCTTGATCCTGAACAGCTTAGAAAAACAACAGCTCTGGTGAAATGGACTCTGATGGGAAAGGGAGGGCCCTTGTGCCCGTACGGCATAGGGCCCTGAAAATAAGTTTTATCTACTTTACAATGTTGGAGAGGGAGGCAGGGTGACATCTATGATGAATAACATAGATGAAATACATAAAAACAACACAAGAGACCTACATACTGGAACAAAAGAAAAAGAAAAATAGCTGGGTCCATACCCAAGCAAATCATAAAAAGGAAGTTTTATCCAAGGAAGTTTAATACAGAAAAAAAAAAAAAAAAAAAAAAAAAAAAAAGAAAACAGCCGGTAAAAAGTGAGCTGGGTCCCCTCAACCACACAAAAACAAAGAAAAAAGGAGGAAAGAGCTGCTTGGTCAGGCAACCAATCATGCAAAGTTTGAGTACCCTCACATTACAAAATCTCCAATGGATGGACAAAAAGAATCCCCCCTCCCCCCCACGGAAAAAAAAAACAAAACAAAACCCTGGAGAGAACCCCAGGGAAGCCAGATAATATATCACAACTGGGCAGGACCATTAAATCCTTCCACTCAGAATCTAGAGTGTACCAGAAGATTGACAAGTAACACTGCATAACTGCCCAACTAGTTCCAAAATGCAGGATTCAAGAGATCAGCACTTGTCCTGAGCCCATGCCAAATCTTTCACCAAGGAGCAAGTGTCAGGCATCTCTGACCCCCTTATACGGAGTGTGCCTGACTGGGAGCAGGAATGAGGTAGGACACTGAAGCATAATTAGAAGGCTGCAAAACAGCCTAGAGCTAGAGACAAAAGGACCCAACTACTGGTGATCAGGTTAAATGAAGACCTCCATACTTACTTTACCCCAGCAGCAGGATCCTGTACTATAGCTTCCAAGAATACAAAACTACCTATGAAAAGGAGAATGGGTAGATACATGAAAGGTCTGCCTCCTCCATTTATAAAGCGTCTTTCATTCATGGATGCTACAATACAGCTTCTATTAATTAAGGAGGGGGTGGAAAGAATGGGTAGTGGAAGGGACCATTGTCATGCCACTACATACCCCAGCCGCCAGCCAAGCGGGCTCTACCCTTACACCATCACTCCCCCCTCCCCTCCCTCCTTTGCCCATCGCAGGCAAATGCCCCCACTCTGTTTTTCTCCTCTGCTGATCTTTTCCGATCCTCCTTCGTAGCATCTCATGCCTCTTCGTGCTCCTCCCTCTTACCCTAGTACGTCTTCATGAAGTTCTCAATGTCTCCCCCATTCTAATGCTGTAGAGGTTCCCACAATAGCCAACATGAAGCTCTCCTCATCGGAACTCTCTTCCCTATTCTTTTTTATAAACAAATCATGGGTTTTTTGCCTCCTTATAGTTCACGATATCTATTTTATGCGTATGTATACTGTATTTCTGTGTTATGGTGGAATTCTTTTACAGACGGCACCTCTGTACAATCCTAGTGTCATACTTTATTTTCTTGTACTAGTCTGGAAAAACAAAAAACCCAAAAATCTTTGTGAAACAATTAACCACCATCCCTTGTTAAGGATTTTAATAGTGCAGCAGTGAATGAACTCCCGGTACTTCAGCCTGGCTTGTCTTACTAAGCGAGTCATCAGAGACAGGGTCACATCAAGGGCCCTGCCACAGCACTCAACTCGGAAAATACTCTGCTGCCAACATTAAGTCTAGAAACTGCCACAATGCACAGTCCAGTGCCTGAAGGCCACATTCCAGACTAGTCCTGCACTTTCAGTCCAGCAGGCTACGGCCTGTGAAGCAACTGCTGGGGATCAGCCGATCCAGATAACTGCTCTGTAGAGAACAGTTCAAACAGCAGTATAACAAGACGTCTTCTTTAAAGTCAAGGGGTAAAAAACCACCAGCAGTGTACCAGAAATCTTGAATGAAGTCAACAAGTTTAGAAGCATAGCAAAAAAGACTAGTTAAGACTTTTTATAGCAGAGCTGAAGAAAAGTTATCCAACCATCTAGGACAGTAGCAAACAACTAAGATAGAGGAGGGGGTTATGCATGGGCTGCCCTACAAATTTTTCAGTTTGCCAGTGTACCTCCTGTTTTAGGTGGTAGCATTGCCAGACTGTAATAGAAACCCTGTATTGTTAATAGATCATCCCTAATCTTTAATGGACAATAAAGAAAGTGGTGCTAACAAATAACAGGCCATTCCTTACACACAAGCTTATGTGCCATATACTTTAGTGCCCTGCCTTATATACTCTACTTTAAGAGCAATGAGCCAATAAGGTTTATTTATTAAAGAGTGCAAACTGCAGTGCCCACAGTAATCTGTTAGAAGTGATTGTGGACTGATCTGACTTCATACAAAAAGTGGATTATGATTGGTTGCTCTGGGTTACTGTACTTTAATACTTAGCTCTGTGTAGTGTTCACTGAACAAGCTTAACTGTCTATATACAAAGACTGCACACACTGCATGACCTGGGCACATGTCACATTCTGAAACGAAGCAATCTGACAGAAAAAGACAATGAGTCAGGATCAGCACGCCCACTCAGTCAAATACTGCATCATTCACTTTCCAATATCACATACCTCGCACAGTGACGCACAGAGCCTGTGCCATTCCTACAAAAAAACAAAACAAAAACACAGGCATACTTCAAAAATGACGCACATTCACACAAATGAGTCTCCTATGCAGGGTCTGTCCCACACATGAAATATGCTGCATGCTGTTACTGGGATTAGAGCCCATGCTTTCCTCTCTGCCCACACACGGAGAGTGGGATGACAGCAGGAGATGGGGGAAACACAAGGAGTAGGCAGTACTGTGGAACTCAATCAGCCTGCACAACAGGGCAACACATGATTATTATATATAGAATCCCCAGAAAGAGGGGCAGGTTGATTACACCAATCAGCATTCAGCCCGTGTCTGCTGCGTGGGAATAATTAATTAAGGGCTGACCAGAAATAGGAAATGGCTGGGAAATTATATAATTCATATAAATAATAGAGAAGGGACAGGATGGCTTAGGGGGAGAAAATAAGATTTCAAAAGGGAGAGAGCTGCATAAGGAATGTGGGAAAAAACAAAAGACATGACTATTATGCTTCAACTAGAAGTGCTGAGCAAGAAAACCAGGTTAAAAAACAAAGAAAAAAAAATAAGGCAATGTTCCACCAATGTAATTTAGCCCATTTATTTTACTAACCTGTTTCTCTTTCACATCCTCATTAAGGTTCCCATTGCTGTCACTGGAAGAGGCTCCACTCATCGGGTTTTCATGCGAACCATGGCTGCCCAAACTTCCATATCCACTGGAGCCACTGTTATGGACAGGCTGAATGGGGATAATGCATTGATAAACTGTCAATATACAGGACTGTAAAGCATGCTCAAACCTTCCATTTATCATTATCAGCTTTTTAAAGGAAGCATTTTCAAAGCACTACTCAATTTCTATTTGTTTTTACGGATAATCACCATCTATCTCTCTGGATAATATCAATAGGTTTATTACTGGCTATATTGTTCCATATAAAAACTCAGATGTGAGCCCAATGGTAATATCTATTACTCGAAATATCAGCAATACACATTTCTATATGAAATTCAGAATTTTTTTTTAATAAAAAGCACTCAAATCTGGTTTATTTCAACTATTTTTTGGCCAATTACATCTGACTTACAACTGAGAAATATAATACAACTATACTTCAAAACTTTATATATATATATATATATATATATATATATATATATATATATATTATTAAACATAATCTGTATCTAAATATATGCACTTTTATAAACACACCTTTTTGAGTTATAATTGTAAAGGTTTATCTGAAATTAATATGACATTGCTTTATCAGCGCTTTCATTCTGTGCCTATTTTTATAACTGTATTTCATATGGAGATACACAAAACCTCCCTCTGGAAGCAGAGCAATCAATATTTCTGTTGAACTACTACTAATGCAGGTCATATATTAAAGAGGAACCTTTGGTCAGAAAATTAGGTCCTGCTGGATCACTTCATGCTTACTCATTTTGCAGGTATAGCCAACTAAAACATTAAAAAATAAGTGCTTATACAGTTCAAAATGCAGTAATACAAATGCTGCTCAGGGGCTCTGGGCTTCAGCAAGATGGCAGCCAGCCTCCAGCAAAAACAAGCACAATAATGCTGGAGGCAATTTACAGCACACACATTTTGGTATCATAATGTGGATTGTATGTTCCTTGTAAACATAATTTTTTATCAAGTTGTGGGTAAAAGTTCCGCTTTAAACTAATTTTCTTTCCTTCAACCACAGGTTGAAGGAAAAAAAAAATTACCCGAGTCCTCCAACACATTCAAGGTTGATGGGGGAAATCCCTCCTGTAGAGCTATTGTATTCTGAAAGAGGGAGGTTCCCAGCCATCAGAACACAATGATCACTGCTATAGCCATTGGCCATGATCGAACAAAAAAAACCCCCAAAAAACTGACAGGCTGGTTGTACTGAAGTTTATCGGGAGATCTACACTACTTTCAGCCTGCCTACACACACGGATCAAAATTTAGCCGCCTCCTGCTAAATCGGTTGAACTTCGATTAGTCTATGGCTGGCTTAAGAAAATAGAGTACAGGATAAGAAGCGTTAGCATGGTGCTAATGAGTGGCTACACTGGACTATTTTAGTCAAGCTCTGCAGAATGCTATTTTATACAGTGTAAGGAAGTTTACCTGCATAAGAAGCTGATGTATTTGCTCTGTGAGCTCTTGAATTCCAGGTTGCAGTGACTGGTCTTCTAAGTGTGGTGGTGCAGTAAAAATGTCTTCATTAACAGGGCCCCTAATAATGACATAAAGATTGGCACCATACGTGTACTAAACCGTTATTGTTTTAACATTGGAGCATTCAGTTACAAGCACGTAGTTAAAGAGATATCTCAAAATTTAAAAAAAAAAAAAAAAAAAAAAACCTGTCTTTGCAGGTAAGGGGTGTTTCCAGATTAAAAACTGCAGCTCTGACTAAAGTTGAATAATGCCATTTCTATAGTTGTAGGACATTTACATTCCTTCCAAAGCCTGACTGGCATACTGCTAAGACGTTGTTACAGAAGGCCAAAGACCATTTACATACCTTCCAAAGCTTGACAGGAATACTGCTAAGATGTTGCTACGCGAGGTCAAATTGGTACTGCCCATAATGGGAGCGTACTTTTTCTCTGGTTCAAATCCCCATTATATACTCTTACTCCCCCTTGATAAAGTAGCTCTGAGCTCAGCATATGGAAGCTCTTCTGCTGATGGAGTAGGCCACGTCCTAGCAACGTCCTGGGAGTATTCCAGTCAGGCTTCAGCAGGTATGATAATGGCACCTATAGCAAGGGATATGGACACCCAGAACAAGGGCATTATTCAACTTTAGTCGAAGCTGCACAGTTTGTTCCCATCTACAGGCGCCCCTTATCTGCTTAGGAAGTTTTTTTTGGTAAAAGGTGAACTAACCCTTTAAAAGGCATTTTTAGAATGTTAATTTGCAGTAGTTCAAGATAGGTATGGACAACCAGAGGCCTATTGGTAGCTGAGACAAAAACAGGTCCCAGCATACTAAAAGCAATCATGCCACAATGTGACATGGCCTACATTAATCTCTTGCATGGTTCTCTTATTAGCAAATTAGGATTAGAAATACAAAAATAATGTGCGTTGGCTTCTGGTAGCCAACAGATATGCTGGATTATGCAGCGCCCTTAATGCATGAAAGCACAGGCTGTACTCACATCCTGACTTTATGCCTTCCAATGATGAAAGAAACTTTTCGACTCCAAGGGTTGATGAAACTGGACCAGCTGGTATCAACTGTAATATATTCCCCGTTACGAGCACAGAATCGAATTGGGGAGAAGTCAAAAGGCTGCCCTCCACACTGCAGAACTAAAATAAATAATATAAACACACACATAAAACACATTTTATATACATACATACATACATATATCCAAAAGTATTAGGACACCCCTCCTAATCATTGGATTCAGGTGTTCCAATCACCTCCATGGCTACAGGTGTATAAAAACAAGCACCTAGATATGAAGACTGCTTCTACAAACATTAGTGAAAGAATGGATCACTCTCAGGAGCTCAGTGAATTTAAGCGTGGTACCGTGATAGGTTGTCACCTGTGCAATAAATCCACCTGTGAAATTTCCTTGCTACTAAATATTCCACGGTCAATTGTTAGTGGTATTATAACAAACAGCAGCAACTAAGCCACGACGTGGTAAGCTAGGTAAAATGACAGAGCGGGGTCCACGCATGCTGAAGCACACCATGCACAGAAGTTGCCAACTGTCTGCAGAGTCAATAGCTAAAGACCTCCAAACGTCCTGTGGCCTTCAGATTAGCACAACAGTGCGTAGAGAGTTTCATGGAATGGGTTTCTATGGCCGAGCAGCTGCATCCAAGCCTTACATCACCAAGTGCAATGCAAAGCATCGGATGCAGTGGTGCAAAGCACGCTGCCACTGGACTCTAGAGCAATGGATACGTGTTCTCTGGAGTGAAAGAATCGCAGTTCTCTGTCTGGCAATCCAATGGACATGTCTGGGTTTGACGGTTGCCAGGAGAACAGTACTTGCCTGACTGCACTGTGACAAGTGTAAAGTTTGGTGGAGGAGGATTATGGTGTACAGTTGTTTTTCAGGGGTTGGGCTTGGCCCCTTAGTTACAGTGAAAGGCGTCAGCATACCAAGACATTCTGGACAATTTCATGCACAAAGCAAGGTCCATAAAGACATGGATGAGCGAGTTTGGGTGGAGGAACTTCACTGGCCTGCACAGAGGCCTGACCTCAACCTGACAGAACACCTTTGGGATGAATTAGAGTGGAGACTGCAAGCCAGGCCTTCTCATCCGACATCAGTGCCTGACCTCACAAATGCGCTTCTGGAAGAATAGTCAAACATTTCCATAGACACACTTCTAAACCTTGTGGACAGCCTTCGAGAAGAGTTAAAGCTGTTGCAGCTGCAAAGGGTGGGCAAACTCAATATTGAACCCTATGGACTAAAGCTGGAATGCCATTAAAGTTCATGTGCATGTAAAGGCAGGCGTCCCGATACTTTTGGCAATATAGCGTATATACATATATACAGTGTCTTGAATAAGTATTCATATCCCTTGAAATTTTCCACATTTTGTCATGTTACAATGTTATTTATTGGGATTTTATGTGATAGACCTACACAAAGTGGCACATAATTGTGAAATGGAAGGAAAAAATGATAAATGGTTTTCAAAATTTTTTACAAATATCTGAAATATGTGGCATACATTTGTATTCAGCCCCCTTTACTCGGATAAAACCAATTGCCTTCAGAAGTCACCTAATTGGTAAATAGAATCCACCTGTATGTAATTTAATCTCAGTATAAATACAGCTGTTCTGTGAAGCCCTCAGAGGCTTGTTAGAGAACATTAGTGAACAAACAACATCATGAAGGCCACGGAACACACCAAACAGGTCAGGGATAAAGTTGTGGAGAAGTTTAAAGCAGGGTTAGGTTATAAAATAAAATATCCCAAGCTTTGAACATGTCATGAAGCACTGTTCAATCTATCAGCCAAAAATGGAAAGAGTATGGCACAACTGCAAATCTACCAAGTCATGGCCGTCCACCAACACTGACAGGCCGGGCAAGGAGAACATTAATCAGAAAAGCAGCCAAGAGGCCCATGGTAACTCTGGAGAAGCTACAGAGATCCACAGGACAACTATTAGTCGTACACTCCACAAACCTGGCCTTTATGGAAGGGTGGCAAGAAGAAAGCCAATGTTAAAAGAAAGCCATAGGAAGTCCAGTTTGCAGTAGGGGATACAGCAAACATGTGGAAGAAGGTGCTCTGGTCAGATTATAGCCAAAATTGAACTTTTTTGCCTTAACGCAAAATGCTATGTACATCACCCTGAATACACCATCCCCACCATGAAACATGGTGGTGGCAGCATCGTGTTGTGGGGATGCTTTTTTTCAGCAGGGACAGGGAAGCTGGTCAGAGTTGATCGGGAGATGGATGGAGCCAAATACAGGGCAATCTTAAAAAAAAAATAAATAAAAATAAAACATACAAAAAAACCTGTCAGTCTAGAAAAGACTTACTGGGGTAGAGGTCCACAATCCAGCAGGACAACAACCCTAAAAATACAGCCAGAGCTAAAATGGAATGATCGATGAAAGCATATTCAATGTATTAGATTGGCCCAGTCAAAGTCCAGCCCTAAATCCAATTGAGAATATGTGACAAGACTTGAAAATTGCTGTTCACAGATGCTCTACATCCAGTCTGACAGAGCTTGAGCTATTTTCAAAGAAGAATGAGCAAATATTTCACTGTCTAGATGTGCAAAGCTGATAGAGACATACCCAAAAAGACTTGCAGCTGTAATTGCAGCCAAAGGTGGTTCTACAAAGTATTGGGGGGGGGGGGGGGGGGGGGGGGGGGGGGGGGGGGGAGGGGGGGGGGGGGGGGGGGGGGGGGGGGGGCCACAGTTTTCAGATAGTTGTAAAAAAAATGTGAAAACTATTTATCATTTTCTTTGCACTACACAATTCTGTGCCACTTTGTGTTGGTCTATTATAAAATCCCAATAAAATACATTTATGTTTTTGGTTGTAACATGACAAAATGTAGAAAAATTCAAGGGGTGTGAATACTTTTTTCAAGGCACTCTACACACAAACCCTTAAAAAGTGAAACTGTAAGCATATAACTTCAATAAAATACAGCACTGCCTTTTATCCTGGTGGTTCCTATAGTCCTCTATATACCTGTTCATCCTGCCAGAAAACGCAGCTGCCATATCACTTCCTTTGGTTGATGGTGTTGACAAATCCTTTACAAAAATTGTATTTAGCGTTGTCATCTGCAATCCTGAGCTACACTACAAGTATGCGTGCAGATGTACCCATAGTCAGCACCTTTTTCTAGGTATATTAATCTCAACTAGTGTTTCTTATGAAAAGGCTGGTTACGATTGCTGTCTGCGTGTCACAGAACAGTGATGCATGATCCCTGCAACCAACCCTGCCAGACTGCAAAGTGCCTAGGAAAAGTGGAGATGTGCAAAAAATGGGCAACAGAATATTTAGGGTTCATCTGGATAAATGAAAGAACATTTTTAGTATATAGCCATGGTGGCTGCCCTTTCCACACAGGTCCAATAACTTCATGCATTGTCTACTTTAATAATCGTTAGGCCATTAGGCATAGCAAACTACCTTAACCCCTCTTGCTCACAGCACCGAGAGGCATTCTAACATGAAATCTGTAGCCAATATCTGGAGCAGATCTGAACAAAATTGCCAATTTTAGCTCAAAGGTAGCTTATGTTCACTTTTGTAAATACCATCTGAGGAAGGTAACTAAAAGGCATTGCAATGGTAAGTCCCTGCCAGCTTAATTCAGCTAAAACATACTGAAACCTGTAGTTCATAATAAGTGAGAAGGCAAGGTATGCCCACACTTACTTGAAAATAAATTTGATAATACCGTGGTTAGATGACTCAAGTGGAAGCTGTCATTCTCAAAATCAGGGAAAATGTACTAGTTCTGGTGCTGTGAACCTATTCAGCTTCACCACACATTACGGTAGTGAATCAGAACTAACGTGCAGCATAGAGGGCAATAAAATGTGAGCTTCTACCTGAAGTTTTATGGAAAAAAAATTTTTCAAGCTTGGGTGGAAGGAAACAAAAGTAAACAAAGAACTGGATATGTAAGGGACATCACAGGACCATTCAGCCAGGCCAAGGAATATTTGTAAAGCATTTCAGACCACTTCTGCCAAATTACAATGACATTCACCAGAAGATGAACTTCACACACTGACCGAAGCAAGCAGTTCAGCTTCCAAAGGAAAAAACCCTCATACTAGGCCAACACCTTACAGCTACAGTAACATTTCTGCAGTTACTGCTTTAAGTCTCTAAATAGCAGAAAATAACATTATATACGTACTCTTCTTGTGTACAGCCAACATGAGTGGGCGGTCACTGGGATGCAGGTGCAAAATGATGGGACTGCCAATCAAATCCTGGGGCAGGTAACCCAACAATGGAACAGCCCTACAGATATCAAAATAACATGGAAAGTCCATGAGAACAGAAGACAAAGTTCAACAATTTCTAGGCTTAGGAATATAGTCTTCTCACCTCTCATCCACATCCTGGAAAAGGCAGCTTGGGGTGTGCGTCGTTGTGAAAATGCGTTTATCTGCAGGGATCCGAGGAGCTAAAAGAAAAAACAACAAGGGAACACAATCTCATCTTCAACAACATGCCCTGTTAATGGAGATCTCTGATACAGTCTGATAGCCAAGTTGGATGTAAGCTTCATTACTAGCGGAGATAACAAAAAGTAGTAGCTTGAGGGACTGTCTCTTAACCTACTGTATACAGTCAATGCCCAGTACAATTTACTAAAAAATACACAAGATATGATTTAAAATCTTCTCTCTGCAAGTCAATAGATAACACGATCATGTGATGTTTTCCGGAGGTGTTTGCTACGTCTCTCTCAGATCAAGCAAAACACAGTGTGATAGAGAGTTCCTGCTGCTCATTTACCATAGATAAGAATATCTACTCCGCACTGAGCTATAAACAGATGGAAATATAAAAAAAACATATCTAATAACGTGATAAATGGAAACCACCCCTGCTCTATTTACACTTCTAAGCTTTTCCTGAGACCGTACAGATCAATTATCACAAAGGATTACACAGAGAATAGAAACCCATAAGCTACTAGGAGGGGGGCAAAGATCAGAATGCAGCATCTTACACAACATTTCTGTGTAAGCACTACCCAGTAAAGTGATACTAAACCTAAAAATGTTTTTTTACCTTAATGCATTGCTTGCATGAAGGCAAAAAAAATGTTAGGTTCCCTATGCTCCCCCTTCCCTGTGTGAAAGGGAAGAGAAGAGAGACGAGATCAGCGCTGTGCACAGTTGTATCTCTTCTCCAATCGCTTCCTCTTCACACAGGGACTCAAACAGCAGCAGGAGCCATTGGGTTGAAAGGCTTAGTGCCGCTCTGTGTCTATGGAGCACAGGTCAGGAGCGAGTATGCAGTGTTTGTCCCCATAGCAAATGGCTTACTACGGGGACACAACAAAGAAGAGGGGGAGCCAGGACCGTCAATGAGGGACCAGAGAAGAAGAGGATTAGGCTACTCTGTGCAATATCACTGCACAGAACACGTAAATATAAAATTGTTATTTTAATAAATAAAACAAATCTGCCCTTATTATCACTTTAAAACAATCATCAGTACCAGATGATAAACACCAGATATACATACCTTCATATCCTGAGTGTACTCGTTCTGCGAAAAGTACACAGCACAGCTGCTCTGCAGTGCCCCCATCAGCATCTGTCTGTATACGGATCAGGTATGGGGTAAGGCGGAAGGGATGGTAAGATACTTCCTGCCGAGACCGTTGTCCACAACTGGGGAAAAAATGCAGAGCTGTCAAAATTCTAATATAGGTATAACAGGCCATTACTAAAGCCAAGAGACCACATGGATGTGACACTTGAAGTAGTGAAAAGTGTTTGTTTTGGGTAGTGCAAGGGAGGGTTATAACCGGTGTCAAGTTTCCTTCCCCATCTGTGCCTCATTGTGGAGATTCCACTTCACTTCCTATCTCATATTCCAAACAAGAAGTGAGAGGAAAATTCCTCCAAGGCAAAGGAATCCCTTGTCATGGAGGAACATGTTAAAGGACACTCAGAGCACTGCTTAGTAGATAGTAAAGCAGATTTACTTTGAGCTTCACCATTCTGCGGGTTACATAAAACTACACCTATGAGATTTTATTCAGCAGATTGTTGTTATACTTTGGGCAAATTTTCTGCAGTGAGAAAATGATGTAGCTTTTATGGCTATACTTCTCTGCTGGGTCACAGAACTGCACTTACCTGTGCTCTCCTGTGACCCAGAATGTCGCCATTCAAAGCTCTGGAGGTATCCTGACAAAAACTTCAGGATCCACCCAGATGCCTGACCAGTAGCTGGCTCAGCCTCTCAGCTCACCACTGAGAGCACATGAGTTAGCCCACTCCTGCCCCCTCTCCAGCCCAGGGAGCACTGGAGGGACAGAGCAGAAAGTCATGGACAGTCACCACTCTCTGCTCCAAGAAGACTGAGAACTGAGCATTCATGTGATCATTCAGCTCTTGGGCTTAGAGCTGATGGGGGACAGCTGCCAAATCAGACCGATTCTCCAGCAGGTAAGGAGTATATATGTTTGGTATTTTCAGTTCCCACACTTCTAACGTTAACTAGAATATAATTTTAATTAGCATTAACTCTAGAATAAAATGAGTTATTACAAGGGTTTCACCACTTTTTATAGTAAATATATCACTTCAAATTGGACAAATCCTACATTTTTCCAAAGTGTCCACAATTTTGGCTACTAGCATATTCAAAATTTCACAGATAGCAGAGGGTTTAAAGCCGAACTCCAGGTTTCATTTAACTTCAAATAGTCATTAGGACCAAGCTGGTCCTGTTTTAAAGACCAGCTCGAAAACAGGGCTGCATAATGTACGTACCCGATTCAATATACAGCGTTAACAGCAGGAGCATATATTAGTGAAGGGAACTGTTTGAACTAGTTAAAAGTGAAATGAAACCTGGAGTTCAGCATTAATAAAATTGTCATGGGTTAATTGGACTACTCAGGTGGGTCACACGATGTCACTGGGTCTTGCTCACAGTTAAGGCTAATCCTTCAAATTCTCACAAGTGATAAGAAAGATGTTCTGAATGACTCAGTGTGTCACAACTTCGGCTCTGTGGCTAAGGAGCGGCAGTCTGTTTTGCCAGACACTAGCTCTCACCATGCAGAAACTAAACATTCTGCTAATAAGATCATAACACTAAGGCACTATAGCATAACCATAGAGACTTCAAACAGTAAGTTAAATATTTTTATAAAACAAGCAAGTTTTAATAAATGACAAAAAATGAAAAGGATAATATAGAATGGAAAAATTCAGTAAGCTTGACCACCGTCTTGCGTACAATGAACAGCCGGAGTTTGCAGTGAATAATCCAACACACACATACACACTGAACATGCATATATAAAATTAGTTCTCACTGCTCTTGGCCTGCGACACCAACAGGCAGCACACTGTGTTCAATGCATCACTATTACAACCAATTACCCAAACTCCCATCCACATCAGAGGCAAATCCAAATAAGTTGCTCTGTGCAAATTTGAGGAAGCTTTGATCACTTTCTGTCAAATAAGTAGAGAACTAGCCATCCAATGTGCTGGGAATAATCTCAGCAGAGACTAAGACAAAGTTCACTGCACGGACCTTTAGCTAGAGTCTGCCAGGCTACTTTTAAATTAATTAGACATATTCCAGGTGTTAGGCCTTAGATCATGTGATTTACAACTTAAAAGGTCTGAGGCTGGTAAGTGGTGTCTTCAAGCAGTTGCAAGAAGACATGGGGGTGTAAAGAAGTGAGTTTGTCCCCAGGTTCCTTAGTGATAATAGGCTTCCATGTTGTTAGCTATGGCACATAAGAACAAAAAAGTAAACTAGCATTGTCATCTTACCTGATCCGACAGTAAAATGATTTTTCTTCTAACCCATCAAGATATCCTGAATCTGTAAAAATAAGAAAAGTTGCCAAAAACATATTTTATATTACTACGTACATCTATAGCTAAAACCAGTGCAAAGAGAATGACCTTGCCCCACCGTGTGTAGTATAAGAGTTTGGGGGTTATTTACTAAAACTTAAGAGTGCAAAATGTGGCGCATGGTAGTCAATCCGTATCTAACTTCAGCTTATTCAATTAAGCTTTGACAATAAAATCTGGAAGCTGATGGTTTTCTATGCAGATGTGCACCCTTACTTCATCCCCATTAAACTCATCTGAGATGAATTATTACAGATATCAGTACCTGACTTTGAAAATGTTCTTTTGGCTGAGTGGGCAAACATTCCCAAAGACAAAAACTTAACCACTTGCCCTCCTGAGGATTTACCCCCCTTAATGACCAGGCCTCTTTTTGCTACTCAGCGCTGCACTAATTCAACTGATAATTGCGCGGTCATGCAATGCTGCACCTAAACGAAATTTACGTCCTTTTCTTCACACAAATAGAGCTTTCTTTCGCTGGTATTTGATCACCTGTGCGCTTTTTATTTTTCATGCTATAAACAAAAAAAGACCAAAACTTTTGAAGAAAAACAATAGTTTTTACTTTCAGCTATAAAAAATATATAGTAAACTCAAAGTTAGTTATAAATTTAGGCCAAAATGTATTCTGCTACATGTTTTTCTGGTAAAAAAAATCCCAATAAGTGTATTTTGATTGCTTTGTGTGAAAGTTATAGTGTCTACAAACTATGGTATAGATACTGCAATTTACGCCATTTTTTGCTATACAGCGCTGTGCTAGTTTAACGGACAATTGTGCGGTCATGCAATACGGTACATAACTGAAAGCTAGGTCTTTTTTTTCACACAAATAGAGATTTCTTTTGGTGGTATTTGATTCTCCTGTGCATTTTTTATTTTTTGCGCTATAAAAAAAAAAAAAAAAAAAAAAAAAGAAAAGGCTGACAATTTTGAGAAAAAAAAAACATTTTGGACTTTTTGCTATAAAACATGTCCAGAAAAAAAAAAAAAACTTAAAATCAAATTTTGTCATAAATTTCAGCCAAAATGTATTCTGCGACATCTTTGCTAACAAAAACCCCAATACGTGTAAATTAATTGGTTTACATGAAAGTTATAGCATTTACAAATGGCGGTAAAGATACTGGGATTTTTAATTTTTTTTTAGACTGATAATGGCGGCGATCAGCGACTTATGGCGGGACTGCGGCGCGGCGAACATTCTGACACTGAGGGGGAACTGACTTGGGGTCACTGACATCCCCAGTGACACCAATACAGTGATCAGTGAAAAAAAAAAACAAAAAACAACACTGACACTATACTAATGGCATGGGGAGGAAGGGGTTAACTTTGTTATTTACTGAAAGGATTAACTGTGTGAGAGGAATGTTTTACTAGGGGGCGGGGGTGTGTACTGCACGGGGACAGCTGATCGGGAGAGAGAAAAACTCTTCTCTCCAGCTCAGCGTGTCAGGAGCTGACAGGGAACTGACAGAAAGCAGAGCTACTGCAGCCCTGCTTTCTGTCACTGATTGCCGCTAATCGGCGGGACACAGCCGGTAACGACCGGCTGTGACCCGGCGACTGACATCCGTGGCTATGATCGGCGGGACAGGTAGGGCGGTGGCGCACCTCGCGCGCCCCCTACCTATTTTGCAAACACACGTTTTAAAACGTGGTTTTGCCCAGCAGTGCCGCCCTGCCAACGTATTTCTACAGTGGCTGGGCAGCATGTGGTTAAAGAACAGGGTTTTTGTAAACGCTTTTCTCCTGGCAGTAGAAAATCAGTTTAAAAAATGCACCCAAGCCCTATTTTTTGCAAACACGTTTAGGCGTGCCCAGCGCTTGGACATTTGTTCATTTCACTGGCCAGATCATTTATTCGGGACACCAAAGCTTCATACACACTGGGCTTAAAAAAAAACGCCAGTTCCATTGGCAGAAAAAAAAAAAGCTGATTCTGAACACAGTTTAGGTGAGTTGGGCATTTTTTTCTGCCAGAAAGCTCCAAACAAAAATGCAAACCAGAAGGGTTTTTTTCCTCTAAACTTTGAGCCTAAAATATGCCTCTAATCGTTCTAATGAGCATGGACACATAGGATAACACTGAGCTTACTTCTGCAGGAAAAACACAAAACTCCTGGAGAAGCAGCTATTTTTAAGCCAGTGTGCATGGAGCCATAAAATGAATAAATGCTCAAGCACTAAACACAGCTAGCACTTAGGTGTGTTTAGGCACACTTGCATGCATTTTTTTTCAGCCAAAATGCTCCTTTCTTGAAAGCACAAGTGACAGGTTTTTTTTTCTGCCTCTAAACGCCTGTAAATGCTTATATGTGCATGGACACATAGGCTAACATGGAGTATTCAGAGGCAGGGGAAAAAAACAAAACAAAAACAATAAAAACAGGCGTTTTTTAAGCTCAAGTGTGTATGAGGCCTAAAAATTAAGTCTCTACCAAGAAGAATCCTCCTTAGGAAGTAGTATCCCTTACCACCTCCATTGCAGATACTCCATGATGGAAGCCTGTACGGATTAGTGGAGCTGTAGAACACACTGACATCCTGTGGGGCCAGGAGCTCCACAAAGCGAGCATGAGAGAACAGATCCGCATTACAGCGCAACACAACTGAGGCCTGCTCCGAAATATAGAGGATCCGTCCGGTTACCAAGGACACCGCCACAGCAAATACGTCCTGTATATGTAGATAATAGACAGAAATAATAAGTCTATTTCTGCATCAAGACCACTACAAATTATTTTTCTTACATCAAAGTCTATATACTCTTAAAGTCTAATACAATTTATTTTTTTTTTGTCCCATGGGCACACAACATAATCCTAGGTGTGCTACCAAATATTAAATTGAGGGTGCCAATAATTTTGTCCAGTCCATGTTTTGGTGTTTTGTGTGTGGAATGTGTCATATTTGTCTTTTTGTTTCTCCGCTTTTTTTTTTTGTCACACCAATACAAACAAAGGAAATAAACATGAGAATACCTAATCATTTGTAATTTCAACAGTTTTCTGGGTGAAGTGGTGCATTATCTGACAGAAATGTAGGGGTGCCAATAATTTAGGCCATGTCTGTATATTCTATAAAGAAATGTATTACATTTCACATTATTTAACATATTTTCATGTCACAGTGTTTTGACTACAGGCCATTGAAGCTTGGATGCACAGACCAAACAGAGCAGCATCAGTATTTGACAGTCCGCTTAATTGTATAGCCTGGCCAAACACAGAGGTGTAGACAGAGGTGCCTGTCGACTCTTTTAGGACATGACTGTAGCTCCACTGTGTCATTTTTTTTTTTATCTAACCCATGTCCCAAGGAGACAGAAGTATTTCAGCACTTTACAGATCAGAACTCTTTAAAATGCTTAGGAAAGCCATCTTACTACGGTTTCTTTTCTTACCAAGTTGTTCTTGGTGTACTCAGAGGTAATATTTGCAATCTCTTCCACTGTGTAGCATGAGAGATCCTGCCCACATGGCTGATCATCATTAATCATTAAAAGCTGGTAATAGTCTTCATTGGCTAATGAATACAGTAAAAAAAACACAAACCAGAACATTATTAAGTAAATTCTGGAAAATAGGAGTACAATATAGTCGTAATGGAAAAATAACAAAAGTAAAGATATCTGTAAAACTAAAGAATTGTTTGCAAAGGGTCAGCCCACTTAAAATGAGCTACTACTATGCAATTGAAAGCTGAAATCACCATCTACCTTCACATATCTCAAAGATTCTCTACAGCAGGATTCTCCAAACTATGGCCCTCCAGGTGTTGAGGAATTGCAAGTCCCAAGAGTCCTTGAAAGACTGACAGCCACAGGCAAGACTCCCATAGGCAGAAGTATGATGGGACTTGCAGGGCCATAGTTTGGAGATCCCTGCTCTAGAGGAGCTTTCCCCAGCTTTCCCCATTGATGTTCCTTGATTATCCGTTACCATTAAGTCTGTTTCACTAAGGCGAGTCCTACTATCAATGCTGCAATCTCAATTAAAAGTTCCAGTGGATTAAACTATGAACTCAGAGGCATGGAGAAAAAAAGCTCAGTTAATAAAGTAAAATAAAGGCCAAAAACATCAATAGTTTCTGTTCATTTTGTAGCAAAAAATGTATAAAATTACTTTCCATTATAAAGCAGCTAGGAAGTTTGGGATTTGAGGCAGTATGATGGTGTCTTGCAAACTGTTTGCATTACCTTTCACCTGCTGGATGCAATGCAAAGCATAGCTGAGAGAGGCAGCAGTGCTGAACTTTCCCCGAAACTTCTTTTCAGGAGGGAGATAGGAGCGAAGCTCCCTCAGTATTTTCATTAATTCCTTTTGAGTTTTGGCTTTAGCTGGCTGCTCACTGCTGCAAAAAGAATATATAAATGGAAATTAGGACTGAAGAGCAATAGGTTTTAAAGATCCAGCGCAGAAAAATTCTACAAGCTCATCATTGTATCGCTCATCAGACTAATCACTCCAGGACAGCAAATTGGCAAGCAGAGTTGGGCACCTTTAGAGCTCATTCACATTAACAGTTTTTGGGAGGGCAAGGAGTTGTAAAATCTTATGGAGTCTGACTTTAACAGCTCCTCCGCAACCTCTTAGCTGCCAGGGTTGTATACAGCAAAGCATCACAGCCATGGCAGGAATTATATCCAGCGTTGCAGAAATGGATTGCTCTGCAAGTGCCCCACAACTGCGTGCATTGCACTAGTGCAGGGTTTAGGGGGTTAAAGAAGACTGTGAGGAGGCAATACAACCCTTCCTCACGGCCTGTCAATTGTTCTCTTAAGAACAATTCAAATGCAGACTGCTCAGTGTGGCTGAGCTCTTACAAGGGAAGTTTGGGTACCTACACCTTCATACCCACCTCTATGCTGCATAATCTGTTTGATGCTGCAGCTGTCCCATGTTGGCTCTAAGACAGAGAACTGATCAAATGATTGCAGATTACTCATTTCTCAGTCTGCTTGGGCGGAGAGCAGTGATGGTCAGTCATCGCTTTCCACCTTGTCCCTCCATCCATCCATGAATGGAACGTCGGAGAAGGCAGGGGCTGACACATCTGGCTTCAGCGCTCTCAGCTACACACTAAAGCTTAGTACACACAATCAGAAAATCATACAGAAAAAACACACTTTTGAAGCGATTGTACAATAATCTGATCATGTGGCTTAAGAGCCGGAGTCAGCTGGCTATCAGGCAGCAGGATAGATCCTAACAATATGTTCAGGATCCTTCCAGAGCTTGAAGCGAATCTGCGATGTCAGAAGCTGACTCTGGGTCAGAGGAGAGCAAAAGTAACTACAAAACAATTAGGCCCTATGTTATGGAGATAAGAATGGTGGGAGGGCTTCAGTAGTTAAGCAACTAAGTAGGGCTAATACTGTTCAGTCTACAAAAGTCTTGTGTGTGGTCGGTCGGCCACCAACAAGAAATCAGAAGCCGAGACCATGGAGTATCCACAGGTATTATTATACTTCTACTGCAATAGCAACTGTGAACTTGTTTTAAAAAAAAAAAAAAAAAAAAAAAACTGTACAGCTGAACTGCCAATTTAACTGTAGCCCCCCTTCCCCCGCTCAATTTATAAACACTATAGGCCTGTGTGTGGGAGACAAAACCCCCCTCCAGTTAAACTAGAGGACTGAAGAAGGCACTATATTTTATATTTTCCTTACTTGTCATTTACAAATGCCATACATTAACTATTATCCCATATCTATTATGCAAGTTTTGTTTTTATTCCAGGGGCCACCCTGCATTAAACAGATAACACAAAGGGGAAAAAGTAAATGTATTGCAGAGTTATATGGATTTTGTTTTTCCTTGACATAATGTTGCAGGGCAAGCAGAATACAACAAATATAGTAGGTAGCTAAACACTACCTAAGAGAAAACAAGTTCTTATGAGAGCATAGAGAAAAAAACAGTGGCTTACCTGTAGCCACTAGTGGATGGGTTATGTTCAGAGTCTGCCATCATTAAGGAGAATGCACTGGAACTGCAGATAGGAGGCTGGAAACCAGAACCACTGCGAGCAAGAAAGTATGAATCAAGGACAACAAAGCAACAGCAATTACCACTACATTAGACACAAAATTACCTGTACAACAAAATTCTCAAGCATAGTAATTACCCAAGATGGGTATGCATACTGAATTATGGAAAGATTCTTTGATAAAATTTGATATAAACACAACACACTTTTTAAAGCCAAAATCTAGAACTCTTCTAAACAAGGAAACCTTTAAAAAAACAGGGGGGTCCAACATGCAGCCCAACACGAAATTGTAAATATACTTAAAAATGTTGATTTTTGGGGGAAACGTTTTTTGTAAAAACGCATTTACACTTAGCGAACACATGCGGCTCAAGAAAGATTTGGCTCTTTACTGGACTTTTATAAGCTTTATCTTCCCAAAGAAAAATCTACCACACTTCACAAATCACACCTTATTCATGTGTTCAGTTTTCGGCACATACATTTGTGAGCATCTATTTTCAGGGATGAAGCAAGTAAAGGACACAATTTGAACAACTTGATAGTTTACTGAGAATTGCTACCACATCCATCAAACCAGATACGGACATGTTTGTTTACCAAAAACAGTGTCAAATATTGCACTCGTTTTATGCTGCCCTCTTTTACTTCTATGATAAAAAACAGCATTACAAAAAAATTAAGTTTTATTACTTAGATAGGTACATCATCTATATCAGTGATCGTTAATGTGCGATCTGCCAGACTTTTTCTGCTTATCAGCTATCTTTATAGACAATTCCTCGTCTTTCAATGTGGCTCAGGAAAGTCAAAAGGTTGGGCACCCCTGCTTTAAAGCTTTAATGCTGCAAAAATCACAAACAGAAAAATCAGCACAAGGTACACAACTTACAGTCAGTGAGATGTGTCCCTTGTGCCATTTCCTCTTAGAAAATCTTCCTCCGTCTGATAAAGGAGCAATATGATTTTGCGCATTGTGGGAAAGTGCACAATCTTGTGCAAGTTCTCACAACGCAGTGGTGTGAATGAAACCTAAATGGTTCCAGTCAAGTTACAGTTTGATGGGTATCAATTACACAGCCCGCATGAGGCTTATAGGGTGCGTGCGCCAAATTTAAAGTGGTATTTAGGTCTGTAAAGGAGAAGAAGAAAAAAAAAAAATTCCCCCTGCAAGTTAATGTAATAATGTGCTAGTATGCACCTCGTACAAGCATATTATGAGAGACTTACCTTTTAAATGAAGCCCTCCAGCGGCACACTGTCATGGCTCTCAGAGCTTCCAGCTTCACATAATCTTTGTTCTGAGCTTGCGGGCTCAGCCATTTGAATGGCCGAGCCACAATGTCACTCCCGCCGATGCGCACAGAAGTCAGGGTTGAGGCACACTGTTCTGTATTCAAGGCACACTCAGTCTGACCTCAATTCAGAAGCAATGCACATGTGGCAGTGATGTTACCAGCTGCAGAAAAATTGAATATCTTCTAAATGGTTCATGTTTTGGAGATATCCGTTGTACCTACAGGTAAGCATTATTATAAGCTTACTTGTAGGTACAAGAGTCAGAGCTTTGTTTACTACTGCTTTAAACGAGAAGTATGGGCTTAAAAAAAAAAACAAAAAAAAAGTCATACTCACCTAGGTGGATGCAGCAGGTGGTCTCCCACCACCTCTTAGACTGAGAACTGAGCGATCAAAGACTGCTGATCTCTCAGTCTTTAGTGAACAGAGAGCTGGTGACAGTAAGTCGAGCTGGGTGGTGGGAGTGGCTGGCTCAGGCTCTAAGCAACTCACTGAGAGGCCGAGTTAGCTGCTGGTCCAGGCATCTTGGTGGATCCCAACCATATGGTTGGGATTTTATCAGAGCCTGGACAGGCTCTGTGACAACAGTCAACAGCAAGCTTTAGCCCACTGTCAACTGAAAATGGGTCACAGAAGTGCACTCCTGTAAACCATAGGAGAAATAGGGCCAAAAAAGCTTTGGCAATACTACTCATGTAAGAGGAGGTTTTCTATGAAAACTTGATTACAGACTTTCCAGACAAAGTACAGTGGCTTCTTGTTAGAAGAAAGCATTTTTTAATTAAAAATAGATTAGAGAGAGTCAGGAGGGAAAATATATATATTTTTTTATATACCTTGTTTAAGGGGGTGAATAAGGATCAAGAGAGTAGTATTTTCAATAAGAAACCTAGATCAAGACACACAAGGACATAACCTCAAACTAACAGGTGGAAAATTCAAACCTAATCTAAGAAAATATAATTTTACTGAAAGGGTAGTTGATTCTTGGCATAGACTTCCAGCAGAAGTAGTGAGTCAGTCAACAGTAAGTGGATTTAAACATGCTTGGGACAAACGTAAATCTATAGTCAGACAAAAAAAAAAAAAAAAAAAAAGCAGACTTGATGGACCACTTGGTCTTTTTTTTCTGCAGTCGCTTTGCTATGTTTATCATGTAGCTATCCTTTAAGGAAATCATCTTTATCCATCCACATATCCTTACCCTTTTAATTCAGATTCCTTTCCATTTTCATCCAGTTCATTGCTGCTTGAATCATTGCCTGTCTCCATATCATCAGGTAGAATGCTGGCAGGATTCTCGAGCGGATGATGGCTCTGGAGGTCCTCAGCTTGAATTGGTCTTGGAGTCAGATCAGTAAGAGTCTCGTATGTAGCAAATTGCTGTTGTGGGTCTCCAGTCTGGAAGGACACACAGTTTCCACCTGTGGTAGAAGTCTCATGAGTTGTAGAGCATCTATTGCTCGCATGATCTTCTGCCTCGGAGAGTGAAACAGACGCTTCTACCGAGAGAGGACCCGCAAGGCTACCAGAATCCAGCAAGCCAGTCATCAGATTTTGTGGCGATAACACATAACTGGTGTTGTACCTCTGTAGCACAGATTCATCTTGTCTGAAATGAAGACTAGTGTTTAGAATGTCAGAGGAGACATGATGCTGGCCAGGTAAGAATCTTGTGGACTGGTGTTGTACACCAGTTGGTGAATCTTCTTGGGTCTTAGTAGGAATATGATGTCCTGGCAATAAAAGATCTTGTTGAAAATCTTTACTCTGATTGGGCATTGCATTAAATAGAAATCTTCATCAGGCTCAAAAAATATGGAAAAAATCTGTGTAAGAGAAAGAACAGGTTCATTACACATAAAAATAAGAAAAATTAATAATAGCGCCTATGGTCAAAATTATATAACTTACTAATAGTGTACCAGCTGCAAAAAATCACCATATATAAAGTGTACCAATAAATAAATAATTTGCGCTAGTAAATGTGTATAAATATATAAATATATATAAAGAAATCATCAAATCATAAGTCCAGAAAAAAAAATATATATATGCCAATACCACAAAAAAAAAAATATATAAAAAAACTTTTATGCAAAAAAAGTGTCTAAATATGAAAAATTTCACCAAAAAACCTTGATAATATAATGGCAGATCATCCATAAATATATCTTCAGAAACGGAAACTCTGCAACACACCGATCCTCATCGATCGAAATAACAGGATGAAAAACTTTGTAGTTAATTGAAAATCCACTTCTCCAATAGATAAAGGACCACCTTCAAACGTATCCATGGGGGGAAATGCCAAGCACTCAAGAGAAACAGAAAGACTTCATGGTGCAATATTATAAAAACCAATTCCTTTATTAGGTACTCATTGCACTTACTCAAGAGGTGTCCCAGCCGACACCAGCATCAACAGCATAACAGCAATCACATAAACGAGCCTGGCTACTCAGCACATGCGCAGTAGCTGGTAGCCAAAAACGTAATGACATCACATCAATCAAGCTCCGCCCTACGCGTTTCGTCATCGACATCCTCACGGAGCGTGAGGATGTCGATGACGAAACGCGTAGGGCGGAGCTTGATTGATGTGACGTCATTACGTTTTTGGCTGCCAGCTACTGCGCATGTGCTGAGTAGCCAGGCTCGTTTATGTGATTGCTGTTATGCTGTTGATGCTGGTGTCGGCTGGGACACCTCTTGAGTAAGTGCAATGAGTACCTAATAAAGGAATTGGTTTTTATAATATTGCACCATGAAGTCTGTTTCTCTCGAGTGCTTGGCATTTCCCCCCATGGATACGTTTGAAGGTGGTCCTTTATCTATTGGAGAAGTGGATTTTCGATTAACTACAAAGTTTTTCATCCTGTTATTTCGACCGATGAGGATCGGTGTGTTGCAGAGTTTCCGTTTCTGAAGATATATTTATGGATGATCTGCCATTATATTATCAAGGTTTTTTGGTGAAATTTTTCATATTTAGACACTTTTTTTGCACAAAAGTTTTTTGCACTTAAAAGTTTTTTTATATATTTTTTTTTTTGTGGTATTGGCATATATATATTTTTTTCTGGACTTATGATTTGATGATTTCTTTATATATATTTATATACTTATACACATTTACTAGCGCAAATTATTTATTTATTGTTACTCATTACACATAAAAGGGGGAAAACAAAAACCACTAGAAAAAACAACATGGTACCTATCAGGTCTCAACTTGTTCTAAAAATGGTGGCAAATTGCTACTGTTGTTTAAAAGATCACTATAGCTAAAAATATACTAACTGTATATAGTCAGTACTGTTAATCAGTATTTGAATTTCATTTATTTTACCTTCCATTAATAATAACCACATGCAACTGCTACAAAGACCATTAAATTGCATCAACTAGCCTACAAACACTTCCTTTCACCTGCTGTGTTAAACAATATTTAAAGTGTTACTAAACCCACAACAGTAAAATCAGTCTGTATATTTATTTATTTCAGGTACTTATTATGCAGTAAATCATACTGGTTATACTCACTGTGGAACCTAAGGGGTTAATCCTCTGCCTTGTGTAAAAATGCTGTTTGACACTGACTTCTCTCATCCTTCCCTTCTTCCAGTGTCCTTCCGTTATCTCCTGATAAGACATATTGTGTGAAGACACTCTGCACATGCTCAGGTTGGTGTGAACTGCTACAGAGTTGTTGTTTTTTTTCGTGGGAGAGTGCATGTGATCAGCACAGGGCCAATCAGCACTGTCCAGACAGAGGTCAGGGGTTCTGCATCCTCCTAGAGCAGAATTAAAACTCCTCCTACAAGCTTTAACCAATGCTCATCTGGACACTGATATAAGTCACAAGACTGCTCTAACTGCTGATGAGGAAAGGTATTTATCAGTTTATATTTACTAAAATAAAATTGCATTTCCATGTGCAGTGTACTGTGGGAGACCAGATATAGTGAATGCAGGGTCCAGTAACACTTTAAGGCGCAAGGCTTTCCAGACATCAAGACATTTCACCAAAAGGAACTACAGAAAGATCTGCACCGACACACTCTCTAACACGTTGTGTCACTGTGTATGCCAATCTTTATAGGAGATGACATTTTTGTACAAAATATTTAAAATACCACACACACACCACCTGATCCTTGCCCAGGTAGTATCTATATGGGACAGAATATACAATATAACAAACACACTATAAATATATGTATCACTCCTCAATACATCCTTTTTAAGCAAACTTTTGAACCAAATTTTACAAAGCCCCTTAACCCCTTGATGCCGACGGCACACAAATATGCGGCCTCACGGAACTGGGCTTTTTTCCGTGGGGCCGCATATTTGAGTACCTGTCTTTATGCTGGGAGCGCGCCACTCGCGCGCGCTCCCAGCACAGAGACCGCTGTGTCACTGAGAGCCCCGGGTCCCGTTCTAACTATCGGGATCCAGGACTCCCGATTCCGAGTCACGTGATCGCTGGGATAGCCTCTGATTGGCTATCACAGTGATCAGTCACTGTACAGCCTGGCCCCCCTTGTTTTTTCTCTCTCTATGAATGGAGAAGAGAGATACATTGTATCTAACTCCTGACATAGAAAGATAAAAAAAAGTTTGTTAAAAAAAAAAAAAAGACAAAATGCGCACTAATTGTTTCTGGGCCGTACTACGGGTACAAACAACAAATAACATACACAAATATGGTATCGTTGTGATAGTCAAGAGCTGGATAATTTATTTTGGGTTGTTCTATGGAGGTAGGTTACGGTCGTAACAAGAAACACACAGGTAAAAATAAAAAAAAACAACTATTTTTACTATTTTGGGCCAGTTTTCCTTTGATAATAAAAAAAATTAGGAGCTATCCATTACTGTTTACCACCAAATGAAAGCCCAATTTGTCCTGAAAAAAAACAAGGTATAATCCACCTGGATGTACAAAGTAGTGATGATATGTACGGTTTTACTAACACATGTCAACGTTGCAGAATTGTGCTTAGGCATTTAGATTTGTTTTTACCCTTAGGCGTGAAGGGGTTAAAAATGTTTCTTTAAGGAAAACCAAAAATACCAGTGTATTTCTACAAGCCCAGTGTAAAGCAGGTCAAACGAACAACCACAAATACCCTCAGCGCAAGTCAAAAACATCAGCTTCAGCTGCTCCATCAAATTCCAGAAAATGTTAACAGCACACCATCTCTCCTATCTCATGGCTTGAAATGACCCTGAATATAACAGCTGTTGTGTAAGCAGTAACGGGCAACCTACATCTGGATCTTGCCATCCCTCAGCTCCAACAGAGACAGCATTGAAGTAGCCTCACCCCCCCCCCCTCCCACATAAACACGGTTATATAAACCTTGCTCCTATCTAGGCTACGCACCCATGTGACTGAAACACACAAATGCCAGATCCCTTCTAATCACACAAATTCTCTCTCTGCAGGGACCCATCAAGCCAAATTCTCAGCAGCCTGACACTCCAGTTAACCATTGCAGTGCAGCAAAACTCTACAGTAGATCCCTTAGAAAGGCCTACATGTGCTTTGGAATGCAAACATTAAATGGCCAACACCTATACAATGATTGACATTTTATATGCTCTATAAAAACAATGAAATAAAACTATATCTGCACTAAGATGAAAAAAAAAAAACAATATCTAAGGCAGCTGTTAATCACTGTGACACCAAGTGAAAAAAACATACAAACCAAACCACGCTAGTAAATAAACAAATAAAAAACCAGATTATAACATAGTGGATATTTCATCAAATAATAATAAACATACAGTGAATAGAAATAAAATAAAAATGTCCATGTGAAAGCTGAATTCAAGTGACAAAGTCCCTTCTTCTCCAAAGAATATCAAGTGCAATCTAGGAGCCGCCAATACACCACAATGTGAAAAAACTCCTCCACATAAATTCCAGAGAACGCTCAGCTCGAAGATGTGCAATCACAATCTCATCAAAGTAGACCAGCAGCTATAAAGGACGATACTCCAAAATGGATGGACCATGAAAAGGTGAAGGTAATGGCACTACACGCTCAAATAGTGGCCATGACATCCTTTGTTCCGGTGATGCGGAGTCTGATTTGGTGACATCACAGGACCTTTTCGTCCCCTTCCTCCAGTGGTGGGAAGATTCCGAATGCTGCAGGGAGTGGTCATTCAACCAGATAGGGGAGCAGAGATGCCTCCCAGATGTGGTTAGCCTTTCTCAGTGACCATACAGGAAGTGAGGGAAAATCTCTCCTATGCTGCAGAAAAGCAATTGAAACCTGATTTTGTTCAAGCAGTCATGCCATGTGTGCTTATTCCAAGATTTCAAAATGACCGCTCCCTGCAGCATTCGGGATCTTTTTTAATAATTTTACGGTCTATCTTGTCTGGTAAGAGGCTCTGACATCTATATGTGGAGGAGTTTTTTTTTTTCACATCATGGTGTATTGGTGGCTCCTAGATTGCACTTGATATTCTTTGGAGAAGAAGGGACTTTATTTGTGTCACTTGAATTCAGCTTTCACATGGACATTTTTATTTTATTTCTATTCACTGTATGTTATTTATTATGATTGATGAAGTATCCACTATGTTATAATCATCTGTTTTTTGTTTGTTTACTAGCGCTGTTATTTTATTTTTTTATTTTCTATAAAGACAATAACTGTGGTCCTTTTATCGGATGACTGAAAGAAATAAATCTAGTACACATGAGCCAATGTCGGGTGGCATCGACCAGTGCAACAGAAACCGGCTGACATTCG